AAGTTCTCATTAAGTAGGTACAATATTGTGGCTATTAACAAATATAAAATTATGAATGTGTTAATGCTTTAATTGTTTGAAATAATGTTATGTAGATATCTTTGGGATGTGTCTTCAGTTTCATGCTGACGTTTGGAATGAGGTCGACACGTTAGCATAAAACTGAAGACACATTTGAAAATTATCCAAATATAATATAAAATTATGTAAGATTAACAAAAATATGACAAGAAGCTCACGAGAGGTTTATTTAGTTGCATAAACCAGTCAAAATTTTTTTCTTCTCCTTTAAAAAACTAAATTGACGCAACTGTCCTTTTCTAGGCAAACTCTAAATAAATAGAATTTAAAGTTTTATTCAGTTCTAAAAATACTTTTAGAACTATATATGTCGGGAAAATGATTGTTATAGTTGAAACTTGGAAAATTGTACATGTAATAATCTTGAAGTAAATGAATTTGATGTTTAAGATATCTCAGAATCTCCGACGCAAGATTTTTATTTTTATTTTTAAGCAAATCTAAATTTTAGTATTACATCAAAGTTACATTAAATGTTACTTTGATGTAATTTGAACCATTTTCTTTAAATACACTAAAAATTTAAGATTTCAAAATATGTGAAAATCCGATTTCAACAATTCGGTGAAATTCAACTATAAAGTATAAAATGTACAACACATATCCAAATCACGGTTATAAAAAACTAAAAAGAAGTTCTTTATGATCGTGGTCTAAGAAGGCCAATTTCAATTTTTGTAACTTTTGGCAAATGGGCAAAATTGACATTGGCCGCCTTTTTAGAGTTTAGGCCCAACGGACGCATTTATAACCAACCCAGCGGCAGTAGTCGAGTAGGTACGGCATATCGGTGCACACGTCGGAATCGAAAATCATTGGCAACCGTACCTATATTATAATATTAATGTGTGCGCAGACAAGAAGTTAACGCGGTATACAACACAGAAGCGATGGCTTTAAAATAGCTCATCGCAGTCGCCGCCGGCCAGCACATCAAACGAGTGCGCGCCACGGCCGGTCGGTAGATCTTTTGATATCGATAAACACTGTGTTGTACACGATGTTATTATTGTATAAACAATACACACACATATCCACACACACACACGGATCGGACGCGGGAAGCGATAAAAATGCGATGTTATCCTACGGACGGAAAACATAAACACCGGCGATAATGAGATTTTCGTTCGATCGGGCCCTCTCCTCTCAAAGGGCACCGGCGACGTCTTAATGCATGTAAACACCGGCGGTCCAAAAACAACATTGTTAAATAACGCCGGGGCCGCCTTGGTCGCCTATGACGCTCACGAGGCATGTGCGCAATCCTCCTCTGCGGGATGTTGATGTTTTCGACTTGTCCGAAAAACAGCAGATTGATACACATGGCGCAAACGATTTTAAACACGACACTGCTGCTGCTGCAGTGTGTGTGTGTGTGTGCAGTACCGCGTTTATCGGATTGTTTGTCTTCGCGCGGCAGACGAGTCTCAAAGAAATTCCTATACAATTCTCGTTTTGCCTCTTGGAAAAACTGAGTGGGTGTCTATAAATAGAACAACATACGTCGTTTAACTAAATACTAATTAATAATCGTCAGGCCGCGCCGCTCGTGTGCGGCCGAAACTGTACGTAAACCCATTTTTGAAATAATATAACCAACAGAATCAATTTTATAACAGACGATGGAATAAAAAAAAAAAAAGGCATTCTAATATTGTTATTTAATTGTTGGCGAAAAAAAAAATGTAATAGGAACAACCGAATCAGGTACTTAATTTGATATTTTAATTATTTTTACCGATCATGTTACATTTATTACGTTTATTTAATAGGTACCAATTATACTAATAGACTGACATATTAAATTGTTAAAGAACAAACATTTTTAAAAAAAAACAATTACATTTTATTAGGAAAATGTCTATGTAACAATATGAATAACGAATACAAAATAAATTATTCGTATTTAATTACTAAATTTGACATTGTATTCGAATAATTTTAAGTATGAATAAATAACTTTTTTTTTATTAAATTATTAAAGCTGGGTTAACATTTTTACTAACTCTAAATACAGCTGTCGATATACACTGTAATTATATATTGTGATAGTCGATATTACCTATAATAGTTATTTATTTGGTTTACACACAAAAGAACAAAGATATTCTTTTATAAACAATATAGTACATCATGACAAGTAAAGTTAATATAAAATAATTATCAGTAAATCGATGTTCAGTATTTTCTTTTTAGCTTCAATCACGAGTTTAAATTAAAATAAAAATAATTTTGATGGAATACATTGACTTCCGCCGTTGTATTTAATTACTTGAAATTTGGAAGAACCTTTAATTGGGTAACCTGTTTAATGAATTTACCTATTAACAGAGCAATTTTAAATTGAAATATAACAAATGACAACTAAAACCAATCGAATAACGTGCCAATTGAAATAAAATGATAATATTCCATTTGAATAGCTTTTCAATAAGAAATATTATTTTAATAACTCACAAATCACATTGGAAAAAATACATAGTTAGCCGAATTAAATGTAACCATAATTTTAGTTAGACCAACTATGTATTTTTTTTTTTATGTATATAGTACCAATAAATGGTTATACCGATATTCTATTATATTTTCAATCGAATAATATTTTATTTAAATAATGCTCTGATCTCTAATGCGGTGAGAGGGTGTGCACAATGGACCTGTAGGTCTGAGTGCATGGGCCCATTCTGGGCCCACCCGTTAACTAACTAAAACTAAAACTAAATAATGCTCATGTTCTATTGCTCTGAAAAGATAATATGTATTTTACTGAAATGTTTTAGGTAAACGTTATACTAAGCACATACAATTTTCTAATCATACATATATATATATATATATATATCATTAACCTATTTTGGTATTGAACACTTTTGACAATACTAATAACAATACAAACTTATATTATTATTCTATATATTAATATTATTCCCTGCCAGATTGAGGTCTAGTTTTTATTGAAGATAATGATACCATAAATATTCCCTAGAGTCCTCGACGCCGCTAACAATGACGGATCAGTTGCCAACAAACAGACGATTATTATTTGATTAAGGCCGTGTATAAAAAGTTTTACTGGAACAGTTGGTCGAGTGGTTTTCACTTTTCAGGCCTGTGTAACTGAGAAGAGTAGGCGCGCACCACTATAGTATTGAAAACCCTAAAAGATTTTAGCCAAAAGCCACTCCACATCGCCGTAAACAACTGTCACTATAACAAATCTGTCTACATACATCCTTGTTCATAATATGTTATTAAATAATAATAAAAGAGGTCTATACTTAGAATAATGTTAAATATATTCCATCGATGTTAAAAAAAAGAAGTAAAAAAAGGTATTTGGTAAGGTTGTGATTTAAGTATAAATATAATATAATAAATTCGTAGATGACAAAAACATTGTTTTTTTTTAGTTTATTGAATATCTCCTTAAGGGTGGAATGAAATTAAAAACTACAGCTTGATAATAAAACATACTTAATAATAAAAACCACTATTGAGATGCTTATTTTCACTATTAATTTATTAGTTATAACTGTATTATCGCAATTATGTAGACCACGACGACTAATTTTAATACATATGCCATCCAATATAATATTATATACCTATATTTGTTTTATTTGAGGTCTTAGAATGAAATATGATATCTTCAATAGTAACTAATTCAACAATTTAAGGGGTCCCGTAGGAAAGTACTCAAGTTTAAAAATCACTTTTTTTTGGTTTTTTCAAAGACCTGCAACTAAAACACAACGCCAATACCCGTACCTGGTTTAGATTCATTTTTCTAAATCATCAGTGAGGCTAAATAATATATGATCAAGAATTTTTTTTTAAATAGCTTTTTGCTCTTCCTGTTAACTTTTATTTTGGACTTCAGTGCTATCCCACGGGAGCTACTCAGTTTATCATTTAAAGTTCTGTTTGCTGTTCAATATAAATTTACTTGTTACTCATAATTCATGATTAATTATTATACTTTTTTAAGATCTTCAGTTGATTGGAAATTTGCACAACTCTGTTCTACAATATATACTTAAAACCAAATAAAGCGACAAATATAAGTAAAAACTTAATAATGTAATTTAATGCGTAGAGATATTTCTGTGGCAATTTAGGTGATTTACTGATTTCAACAGCCGTTACAGAAAAACAGTACTTATTTGGAAGAGGTGAAATTGAAAATGCATTGTTTTTCACGTTTCTTACGCTCGGTTGGCTCGTTAATTAAATGGGCATTTTACTTACAAAATGAACGACGGGAAAAGAGAAATCAAGAAAATGCCAGAGAAGAGAAAAACAAAAAGGTAGAAACCACGAACAGGGACAATGTGATTGGTTTTAGCAGCAGCACAAGCCCCGTCGGCCAAGACTAATAGTGCGGCTGTTGACGCCGACGGGCCACAGTCATTTATTTACTTACCCCTCGAAACGTTTTTGTGTGAACGAAACAATCGTTTTGTTGAAAGCAATATTGTCCTTACTGCTTATACTGTCGTTGAGGATGATACATATAACATGTAGACGGCCAATAAACGCCTACCACCATCATCATCATCATCATCACACCGGCGATTATTAGCAAACCCAGAAGTATGGACTACAATGTAATATATTATGTTGTTTACTACAACAAGCGTTGCTTTCTTTCGATTCGCTTGAAAACTGACGGCTCAAGAATTTGGGAAAAAAAATGTCGATCACCATTGTCGGTTTTATTTATTATCGCAATAATTAAAAATAGGGTAAAATTTCGCACTAAATGTTGACAGGAAAGAACGAAGAACTTTGAAAAAAAGATTTAAAAAATATATACTCAATAAAAAATATCAGTATTGTGTTAGACAAATACTAAAAACTTCACCACATGAAATTTATATAAAAAGTAATCTTTTATTATAGAATTTTCGACCCATAATTGATATTTTACGCCTTTCGAATCGTAATTAAAGTATATTGAACACATTTTTGAAAATAGATATAAAAGTTAAGTGAAAAGAACAGTTATATTCACATTCATAATATATATATTATTATTATTATACATCAGTTCGTAATTTCTTTCCATTAGGCATTTGCTTTTAGACATTTTTCAAGTAAACTCAACAACGAATTTTTATCCAAATATTTTCCTGAAAAAAAAATACCATATAATAGAATGTTAATCTTCGTTGCCTAATCTAAAATGTATATTTTGTTAATAGTTATTAGCTTAGGTCAAACTGTTAAAAATATTATCAAATTTTAGCAGTACGGTAGGTAATAATTACTATACATAAATGTGCATTCGGACAACTAAAGTTTGAATATTAAATTAAACAAATATTTCAATTATATTTATTTGGTCATACTAATATTTTCATACGTTACCTATTAAAATAATTCTACTTCCCGGGGGGACTTTGTGATGGCCGCTTATTGTTTGAATCTCGTACATGTCGTACACGCTTTGTACTGAAGCCACTGACTGGTCTGCGAATCTTATCACGCCCTAAACAAGCACAAAGTGTATACATTTTGAACAATAAACGTAGGCGTGTATAATAATAAACGAGTGTTATTGGAACAGAACAACACTGCACAGAACATATTATATTATTATCATCGCGATATCAAGGCATACGACGGGAAATCAGATGGGGGACGTATAACGATTTAAATTAAATTTGAGGGAGAGGATTATTTTGCTTTTTTTTTTTTTTTTGTCACCAAGCTTAAAAGGTTTATGTCCGCAGTGCGTACACTGTAACGGATCGGATCACGTGTTCGCAGTTTGTTTTCTTCGGTATTTGTATAAGCACCGCACCAGTGTTTTTTAATTCGACCGGGGTAGACGCGTTCAATATTGAAATTCTTTAGCCGATCATCCCACCGTGCACTGCCCATTGAATCGTACGTCGCGGGTTGTTTGTATAAGAAAGACCCTCCCCCGCACGCAAAGGCGTTAATCACGGTTTAATTAAAACATCAAAGGCGCCCGGAAACCCGTCCGCTGATTGGTAACGCCTCTCGGTGTTGTAGTTACAAGTCGGCGGGGCTTTGATCAATTATTAACAGTGAATCGCACACACAATTCGTTTTGCACGTAATGCGTTCAGAATTAGTTTCACCTAATACGAGTGTAGACGGTACTACAAAAGACCTAATTCTGTTGCCAGCAAATGTCTATCGGATAGAAACAGTCGTGAAGTCATCATCACAAGCCCTCGTCACAATACCGCATATTGTAGTACAGTGTAAACGACATTGTTGTTGTTATAAACTTACCGTAGTGCTGATTTTTTAGAAATTACGAGAACTAAAGCAGCTGTTTCCTAAAATATGTCGACTACCGACCACGCGATGCACACATTTAAATGTTTGCCCGACCTCATAAACCTGCACTTTTCAATTAAACGTCCTCAGGCCGCGACTTTATCACACTGTTGCATTAAAAAATGGATCTAATTAGATTGTGAATACATGTGTGATAATATATGTGCCGTACCTAAAATAGTATTCTTAACTTTGAACGGGAAGAGGTGAACTTTATAAAATGTTGACACAATAGAGAACCATTTAGGCACGATTTTTGATCTATAGACTACGGTTTAGTACTTTAGAGAAATCGGTTCAGTGGTTTTTAAACAGACAGTTTCGAATAGACATTTAACCAAATATAAACAATAAAATAAATATATAATATTAAGAATTGTGAAGTTACGATTTTCATTTGTTTGAAAGCTCTAACATGAAAATTAGTGGTGGTCTCTAAGGGTCTTTTTGTTTTAAATAAGTAACAACATTTTTAGAAATTGTTTAAACAAATTTGCTGAAATAATTTATTTTGGTAAAATTGTAATTCTGAACATCACGCGTGTAGGCTGCTTAATCTTGTTTTTAATAGCTACTGACTACACTTGAAACTGATTTTATTTTTGTTTGTAATAATTAGGTTGGTTAGGTTAAGCAAGAAAACCGTGTCCGATGTAAAAGATCTTTAATTTTCTATATCGGTTAAGTCGGTCATTAGAGTACGGCGAAAGAAATTGCATGAATAACCGACGAACCGAGATTATAGAATAGAGATAATATAATTGAGAATATAGAAGGCACGCTAATAGAAATTATGCATATCAGATTTTCAAAGATTTCTAAATATTAAGACTAACGTAGATTTACTTACTATAGTGATTGCACAGAGATTACCTAAAGATCAACAGAGATTCTCAAACATTTTTATCTTGATTATTACCAGTGGTTACCCTTTGCCGACGATTTAAGGTTAAGAAGACGTTACTCACCCGTAATTTTTAGCGTAATACAGGGTTTGCGTGAATCAATACTGTTGAGGCTGTGATAGAACTAGAATCATCAGAATTTCGTAGAAAAATATAGGGAAATGTTATCTCTGTTAAAGCGCGACAATTTTATGATGGATAGATTTTTTTTCTGTGAATTGTTATGGCGAAAAATTGCCTATACTTTACACTGTAAAAAATTACATATTTTTCACCCTTGGGTGAAATTGGCTCGAATTTCCCGAGGTTTAATGAATTCTCAGTTATACTGAGAAACTGTAACTGTGTCGGATATAAGTAGTGTATAATATATTACAGTATAGGCTTCGGCGAGACGAAGTGCGTGTTCAAATTTTCACACGTACGATGAATTAACAGAGTTTGATATACATGAAAGTTTTGAAAATTTAATAATAAAAAAACATTTTGACGCGACGATGATCGTCGAGAAGCTCTAACGTTCCCCACAAAAGCATTCCTCATACGCGTGCCGGTCGTCGTTTTCATTTCCCGGACTAGCCACGCGTGAAGTGCAAATTTTACACTGACACTCGTACACGGGCAAAGACAATATCCCTTGTTTCGCACCATGCTCTGTTTTTTTTTTATTTATTTGTTTTATATAATACACGAGCCGCATTCGAACGCATAAACGAGTTGTTCCGTTATTAAGGCGCGTTTTCTATCGCTTTCCCCTTATACATGTACATATTATTATAATATATACATATATATATACACAACTTACAAGAATAAGAAAATGTATACGCTGTGCTCCATCGTAAACAAAAAGTAAAATCAGAAAACGTGCACGCACGGCCTTTTGAACAACGCGTTAACGTTTTTGACTTTTGTTGTTGCATACTCGAGCCAAAGACCCTTACATCATATATAGCTGTTGTTTTGAGAACATACGCCTTTTTCTTCTTTCTGTTCTAGATATATTCGGTTCAGAGCTAAAACAACGGTATTTGTTTTTACAAAGACATGTTTTTATTTTATTTTTCTTGTCTGGAGAGACGATAACTTTTTACCGCTCCATCGGTTTTCTGTACGCGTGAATAATCATATCAGATGAGTTCACAGGGTTCAGACAGTTGCTACAATATCACCCCTACCCTCCTCAATTTAAACTATCAGCTTGTAATATTAAATACTTTTTGTATACTGAACATTGTATTTTCGTGTAAATATATCACCACTAACATTGATAATTTTATTACTATTACAATATCAGGAACTCAGAAAGAAATTTTAAATTTAATTTCACGGAAATTAGAATAGAATCGAGGTAGTTGTTCGAGTAAATAACATACAAAATAAATTTAAATACTAGTGCATTAAACAATGTTGTGAAATACTTACTTACTTAGGTTTGTACTAAAAAAAATCGCAGAAAAATGTAATTTCCATATGGGAAAATAAGAAAATATTATGGTAGTCCCATAATTATTATTGTGATCAACAATTTTATCAAAGCTCTAGGTTCGTTACACATATGGAACTCATAAATGTAAATTGGCACACATAACGAGTTTTAGGAATTTTGAGTAGACAATTTAGCCGAATAAAAAAGCATACTTTATAACTTTTGTGTAAATAACATGTAAATACCTGTCTTGAAAAAAAATCTTTATTGCATGCTTTTATTTATGCTTTATTGCATTAAATAGAATCAATATAGATTATAGACCATGCAGGGTTAAAACTTTAAATAAGGTATTTCAGTGTGAAAAAATTAGGTGTGGTAATTTTTCACTTTCAACTACTATAAATTACTACTGTCTGATCAAAGTGGTAATAAATCAATAAATTCTGGCCGATAGTCTTTATAGATTATATTATGTGTTAACTAGAAAACAAATACTAAATTTCGATCAACAAAAGTATGTTTACCATATTTCACCGAAAAATTGGCGAACCGAATTAAGTATGTAGTATGGATGTTATGTGTGAATAAGATAAAAAAATAAAAGAGGAAAAAAACAACTATCCAAATAGGGTTTCATATAAATATTATGAGAGGACTATGCACATTCTTGGCCGGCTTAAGCGGCACCAATGTGGAGCCTTTGAATTGTCTGTTTATTAGATTTGGTCGGCGTGAAATTACTGTCAGTCCTTTCGCTGACTTGCCTATAAAACATTCGAGGAATGCAAATCGAAAGCGGTTTATCCATTTCTCTTTAACTATCTCGTTCTCTCTGCTCCGGTTGGCGGGTGATCATATTATATTACTTACAGCTTATTCGTGCTACTATGTATTAAACTGGAGGATCCAATGGACAGTTGTTGTGCAGGACACATTTGCTAACTGTGCATATATATAAACAAACTTGGATATTATTATCTTTTATATAGTACTCCATACGGTTATATATACTCGATCAGTCATCAGTGACCATTTATTCCACTTATTTTATTATAACTCTTCAGTTCCGATTTAACGGTAAAAACACATCCAAATGCTAACAGACATAATACTATTTTTTGGTATAATAGAAAACGTAAAAACATTAATTTAACCATATAAAATGTCACTCTCGCTCATTGTCAAATGTTCATGTTGATTTATGGCGGCCATGTTGAAGTTATTCACGGTATCATCGTTTAATGTCGATCATGTCAGAATTCGGAATGATTATTTCTATAAAGCCGCAAGACGAACAGCTGAGGAAAAGCCGCCAGCGACAGGTATGCAGGCACGTTTACGGCAACGGAATTCCTTCACGAGTTTTTGTAGGTAACACCCGAAAATTAAGATCAGAGGCTACGTGATAGCAAAGGCTTATATGATGCTTGCCGCCAACCCCTTTTATTATTATTATTATCATTATTACACGGTTGTCGACGGTACTCTCTTGTCCTAACACCATTTTCTTATCACGTGCTTATGTGCAATATTTTGTATATTTAAAGCACACGATGGGAGTTTATGGCATTCTTGGGAGGTTTTCGACACGGAGGAGTACACGAAAAACAATCTACATCAAAGTTTTAAACGTACACCACTAAATAAATATCTTCACACGTTTCTTCTAGTATGATTAACAATTATTGAAAAACTTCACAACATTAAATTATGATTTACCACTATACAAGTACAGATAGATACAAATTCTCAAGATATACTAATAACTATATCGGTATGATATATGTTACTTCTTAAAAGTAACGGTTTACAAAATATTGCGATTTAATTTTAGTACAATATCTGCGTACAGTTGAAGAAAAACAAGCCCAGGTAAGATGGTTTTTTGTCTGGGTAAAAGAACAATTTTGTGAAACTTTTAAATCTATTTACCGATAACTGTTTAGGAATATGCTGCTGAAGCGATTTCAAAAGAAAAGAGGGTTTATCCCAATTGATCAAAGAAAAAGAGGGAGCGGAATAATCTCTGACCATAAACTATATAAAGCATTAAATAATAACAGCAATGCAAAAACCTACAATAGCGCAGAAATAATACTATTATATATTATATATAATCAATTATTTTTACAACCAACCATGATTTTAAATAACCTTTTTTGACATAAAACTAAGGATATTCAGAGTTTACATTACTTAGTAAATCCTTTCTTGAAAAGTCGTGAATCATTTATTGCGCCAACATTTTGATAAAAGAGATTTTTAACTTAATGCAAACATTTTAATCAGGTCCACCCCTTTTTATAAACAGTAAATAATTATATGCACAAACTCTATTAAAATGTTGGGTATATCTTTAACAGACAAACAAGTAACACTTATTGTCATACCCTATACTGACTACTGCAGTAATTATTTACAGACTACGTATACTTGTAGCTATTGTTCAAGATGTTAATTTTACTCTATTAAATTAGCTCCGAAACAAATATGAGTAGGTATTGATATAATATGTACTATTAAATTATTTTAATTTATAAAGACAGCTTATGTATGTATGTACAAGACATAGTTTTATATTATTGGGTAGCTTTACAAATGAGTTATAATATTATAAATTAAACAGATACTGGTCTAGTTGCTACCGGCAGAATCGTTTTATCGAGTAAAAAACATCCTTCAAAATATATATTTTTCAGAGTAGTGATAATATTAAGATCACATACTGTGATTGCCACAACAGTGGAAGCCATTAATCCGATCAACATTGTACTCGAATGCTGCTGATATGATTATCATATCTAGACCCCATTGAGCCATGATAATAAAATACACAGTTAGATAAGAACTGAGAACATAGTCGTACGTTTAAATCGAAAAAAGTATTTGTCCGACGATAAAGTATATTATATTATTTCCAGTACACATGCGATCCCTTAACACGGGGATAAGTCATACAAGGGAGACGAGTATGTGTATACACACACGAGCCTACCTGATCCACGGTCAATTGATTACATCTGGAACGGGGATTAGCCCTATACAGAATTAAATAGGGATTTATCAACGAGAAAAATAGACGAGCACAATGGCGGAGCTGTCTACAACAATTAAATACGACAAAATCGCGGGCACGTATAACAGGCGTGTGTAAATGTTTAGTCGGGAAAAATGGGGACGAGAAGAAGAGAAGGGGCGCAAAAAAAGGCAACAAACAATATTATTCTCTAGTAAATATAACCGTGTGTACAAAAGGGTGAGCCTCTGGTTATGCATTTTCAACGTGAATACGAACAGCCGGTCATTTCAATGCGTGTAGTTGACGAATTGCACAATAGGATATAAACTGAAATTATTGCGATAAACCAAAACATTGTTCATTTGGGTCCGTACGCCCCGTTTTAAAAAAAAAAACGTAGGTAATGCGTTTCAATAATAATTATTGTTTCTTTAATATCTATATACTCGTGTGTAATAATATATAAAATATACAATTACAGATGTTTGCTTCGAACGTTTTCATATGGTATTATTTTTAAAAAAAAAATAGGGTGTTAGAGTTGGGAAAATTTAATTAAATAATGAATAACATATTAACAAAAAGATAAAATTGTAACCGATTATTTTTAAACAAAATCATTCGTATAGTAATCGAATAATGGCCTAACTCTGAATAGGAGTTAATATTCCGTTATTAATCAACGCGCTAAAATGTAGCGTTTAGAATAATCTCAAACTCAATCTCATTCAAAGTACATATATATATATATATAATTTATATATTACGTTTAATGCGGTAAGATGGAATGTAATAATAAAGTTAAGTAATATAACAAGTGTAGGTTCTATGTAAAAAACATACATTATAATATTAAAGGTCGAAAAGTAATAAGTATTTAACTTTGTTGAGGATTAATATTTACGGCTAACGTGCAAATCAACTACATACACTTTTGTAAGAATATATATTATGCGATTCTTTAAAGAAAAATATCGAAAGTATGAAAAATATTTTGCGTTTCAGACGGGTCAGACACAACATAATATTATTATATATACGACATATTATATTATTCGTATATATTATTACATACGACATCAAAGACTCACCTTCATCCGAATAATTTCAGAAAAGTTTCCTTGGCCGTCTGTTAAAGTTTTTTCCCATAAAATCTGACACACAAAAGTGTCCAGAGACGTTTTCGAAATTCCGTTGGGTATATCCAACGTTACTGTACTAATGTTCTGTAAAAAAATATACATTTACAAAAAATCTACACATAGTAAGAGGCACGTGCAAATACAAGGATTATTTGATCTTTATTTACTCGGTATATATGCGCTTTTCCTTCCAACCCGTCAACGTTCTTTACAATTTCTTCTATTCTGCAAACAGTGCAAAACCAAAAATTACTCGTGAATTAACCGTGTAATCTGGACCGTGCGAAAGGACAAGTTTTTATATAACTATAACAGTATTAATAATAAATGATGAAATTTGAAAAATTATCATCAAGTTTCGCCGCAGTTTACCATAAAAATCAAATAAATCAATAAGCGCATTAGACGAATAACAACAAAGTACTGTATAATAATAATAATAATAATAATAATATGGACAAAGGGTTTATCGAAATTCGCGTACGGTTATGGTCAAAGGGCTGATGAAAAGTCAAGACCCCCCAGGCCATACGGCTACCGACCATTTAGAGGGATCAGAGATAAGCCGCAGACTAATAGGGTGTTTTTATTATCGCAGACGATTATTGTCACCACATTTCGTATATTATATACCGTGTTTTTACTGTTTGGACACCCAAAATATTCAATAATAATAATAATAATAATAATAACGATAATAATTTATTTTCCTTTAATAACACACGTGAACATTTGGAAGTCATAACGTTGGCTTTCCGATCTAACGCCTCGTAAATTCACTAATGAAAAGCATAAGCGGCTTTACGACACTTATGGCACGTTTTTAGAACTCGTCCTTGTATAATATATTGATTCTGTTTTATGGTCAATAAACAGTGTACATGATATAACCTTATGGAGTCGTCAATTTGTTTTACTCGCCACCACATTGGAACATCATACAGATTCTTAAAAATTGTATACGATAATGTTGTGCAGTTATTATAATATATTAGACGATAAAGTTAAATATAAAAACTGGATCATTTCGATGTTAATTAGTTTTCCTACAATCGATTAATACCAGATGTAGTTTAAATGCAGCGATACCGATCGGTTTGAGTCGAGAGTTGGGCATTACCCGAATAATTTTGCAAAATAAATTATCATAATATATTAGCTATTATACAGTAGTATTATATTATACTTAATGGAGTACCATTAAACAAATTTTAGATTACTCGAATAATGTTGTTTCTAATTTCGAAATGTCACTGTGTTAGGCTCGATTATTATGGCATCATAATAAAAACACTAAAATAAATATGAACATATTTTAATTAATCTAATAATGTTTGATTTGAATAAAGTTATTCGAAAATTAACGAATACAAATTATCTTTTTGTTCAATTAATATGTTCTTATTTTTTTTTTGTGTTTGCTAATAATTGTTATTGAAATACACTTTGTCAAATTTCGAACAATACTGTTAATTATACACAGTCTACAGCTGAGCTGTATTATTTTATACTAAAAATAAAGATTATAATGTATTATTAAAACTAAATATTTAACAGAAAAATAACAGAAAGTTTATTCAAAATTAAATGTTAAGGTAAATAAAATACATAGTTATATAAATAAACCGATTATTTAAATTAGGTATCGTGATTATTAGATTAAAACAAATTTTTTTTTATTTATGTTTTTAATTTTATTTCTATATAAATTTTGAGAAATTAGATAATTCGATACTTTCTACTTATGTACTATTAATATTACGGTTTGACATTGAATCATTCATTACATTTTTGACACTGCAAGATATGAGATATTGCTGTTGATATTTGGAAGTCATTTAGTATAAAAAAAGAAACCCCAACAAATTAAAAATAATTTACAAGTTAATATCAGTAATAAGCAATATCGGTTTATGCTTATTATTGTTTTAATTTTAAATGAACGAAGCGGAAGCGTTTTATACCTACTTAATATTTGAAATCTAATAACAGGCAGAACAGAAACATTAAAAAAAAAAATGAATTACCTACTTCAAAAATCTCCCATTGTATTGTAGTAGTACACATTTACAGCTATATTTTTTGTTCTATTATTAATTGTGCCGGTTAAAAATAATTAACTATTTCGTAGCTTAAGCTTAGTGTGTCGTTGTTTGTAGGGAATGAGTTTTTATAAAAATGTTCCTAATGATTTTCTTTTTACATTTGTAATACGACAATAATCATTACTATTATTAAACTTGCATTCCGGCATTGTCGCGTCGTTAAAATAATCGTTGTGCTCGCGCAATGCACAATAATCATTATTATTCGTATGTGCACAATTTTATTTGTCAGTGGAAATAACAATATGTAAAATTATAATAATATTATGCGTCGAACTTGAATTATACAAGACTGCAGCCAACGTGTGCGGGCGAGCGCGTTTCGGACGAACGAGCAAGACGTATTTTGGCGCGTACCAAATGATCTTAAGGCTCAAGATAACGAGCTGTCCTCGAGCCCAACACGGTTACCACGGATGGCGCGCGCACATCCATAATAATATTACATCTATACACACACACACATAACGGGTTGAAGGCGTACAGCAGGCAGCAGATGTGTGCGTTTCAGGGGCTCTCTGGTGGCATAGTGACGACAGTAGGGTTAATTATTTATAGGTGGTTTAATAACGCGGCTTGGTTGGTGCCGTTCTCTCCAGTCGGCAGTCACCCCCCCGCGGCTGCCGTATTGGATCCGCCGGGGTTTAATAACCGAGTGGCGCAGCGGCGACTGTGTTCACTTTTCCGCTCTCTTGAGTCCATTTACACGCTATCGCGTTTACATCTAACCGTCCCCTAAGTCTCTTACACACACACACACACACACCGATCGCCTTACTTAATAACCACCACCATCACCACGCATGTATTCGTCGGGTAAACACTCGGCAAAAGCGGTACACGCACGTCCCAACACCATCGTGTTATCACACTATTCATGGTAATACTATTACCTACCTATTAAAGAATAAAAAAGAAGCGCGACTGTATTCCATAAAAAAAAAATTTATTAAAAATTAAATTTAATGTTGACAATAATCTCTACTGAAAATTTTTCATTCGATTGTGACATTTATAATGTTGTAAAAATAAACAAAAATGTCAAAAAAATACCCCAAATTTACCGTAGTTTCAAAAAACTGACTAACATTTATTGTGTTAAAGTAATGTACGAGCACCCTGTATGCATAAAAAACTATTAGTTATCAGCCAAAATCACTATAAATAATTACAGGAAACGACATTTTAAAGGTGTTAAGAATCGCATTTTCAATTTCCTTTTTTGGTTTCATTAAGATAAATAAATATTGACTAGAGATTTTTGATGAAATTGTTAAAGTTACATCTAAAAAGAAAAAGAAAAATTTCCTAATCCTTCCGAGAAAAAGGTTTATAATGTTTATTTGTCTTTTTACTATTTATTAGAAGTTCTATACCTATAGAAAATCCCACACACGTTTGAAATTAATAAGACTTTTTTCAAGAAGTTAGAATATGCTGTAATTTTATTTGAAAAATATGAACATTTTTGGGATGTTTATCTAGATATTTAATAGTAAATATACACCCTTTACTATCAGTACAAAAGTTTACCCAACTTTTTTCAATTTTGACTTTGTAAAGTACCTTTTGGGTACGATTTTTGGTCTATCGGCTTTCTACACGAAGAAATTAGCACGACAGTTTAAAATATATTGTAAATTTAGAAACAAAAATAAAGTAAAAACACATAATTATTAAAGCGATATTTTCACACGTTTGCGTGGAAGTTAAGTGTTTTTCAGAATAGATACTTGAATTTATTTTAAAAGAATATTCAAAATACTTTTAAAACTATTGGAATACGAAAAAAGTATTTAACAAACGCAAGTGGTTTTTTTAAAAAGTGTTTCCTTTAAATTAGGTTTAAGTTCTATTTTTACATGCCTTGGCCTTTACTCTTTATAACATTATTATTTTTAAGACCAATATGTTTTTCCACATTTACATAGTAAAAACTATTGTAGGTTTTATAATTACTAACTAATAAATATAAAGACTGGTAAATGTAGGGGATCGATAGTGTACATTGCAAATAACTGCAAAGATAATTATGAAAGAAAAATAATAAGTTAACTAGAGAGGTAATTGGGTACATTTCATATTATTTAACAAATCCTACTTGGAAAATATATTTTTTAACTGAATAAAATTACTAAATAATTTTACTAAAAATACAAATTTGAGTATTTTACAAGTTTGGTGATTAAACGAGTAGGGTGGTTTGAAAACGGGATTTCTTTAAACCTTTTTTTTCTACTCTCTCTAGAGTAATCTATAGAATATAAACAAAAACAAATTTTAATGCTAGAGAATTTATTTTGAGCCATCCCAAGAAGTTGTAATTTGCAATATTGGCCCAAGTACTTATACTATGATAATTTTTTTCGCCGATTTAAATTTGTATTGGGTAAAAAAGCTAAATATTATAGTCGGGCTGTAAAAATAGCAATGCCATTTTAACTTTTCAAAAAACCAAAATGTTAACCGTTTTAAATCTAGTCAGTAGTCATATTATAAACATAGTAAAAATAATAATATAATTGCTTGGTTAAAAAAGTATACGTGTATATTATAATTGTATGTATTTAATGTTTTAATGTTTTAATAGCAACATGAATACTTGTAGAACTAATATCGATTAAAAAAATAATATTTCAAAGTTTAACAGATGGCAGTGAAGTATCTTTAAGGGGAAAACGTCGAGGGTTGAAAATTATATTTGCTTTATTACACGGTTATTATTCTGACAAGTGGTCTTATGGTGGCCTAATGCCTATAATAGTGCTTTCGTCAGCATTAAACCCCAACGAATCTTTAAAAAACCATACACGGGACACAGCCTGTAGTAGGGGTGCGCTGTGTATAAACATGCATCCGCTGATTTATAAAAATTAAATGACGTATTTTAATAAAAAAAGAAATGGTAACTATATGATTAAAGACGCTTGTTTTAGTTCAAATACATTTTTCGAGCAACGAAACCAACAAAATAACAAATTTTATAATTGGACTGGCTGAGGTAGACCCGATTCGCTTGGTCATTTTACTAATATATCAGTACCGAATTACTTTCGTCCTATTCGCCAAATCAGATTTTTTTCTCGTGTAGGCACAGAAACTGCTTATATACATACGGCTAGCCGAGAGAAATTTCTAGAATATTCTATTAAATATATGTTTTTATCCGTACCTTGCAGGGCTGAAATTTGATGAGTATGATTTTAACTCCAAAATTTTGTTTAAATCCACTCTAAAAAAAAGTACATAGTTAATAAATCAGACATTATATAAATAATTTTTAATATTGAGTTGTAAGTTTATAAAATTAATAGGTACCTGCTGTTGGTGGTACTAATAATCTCAGCTGTCCCGTTTATGGATCTAGATAATAAATAAAAGATATTAGTATTTGTAAATAAATTACTTAAAACATCTTTTATGTTTCGTTTAAAATTAAATTTTCATATTTAGAGCCATGCAAATGTAAAGACATATCCAAATAACTACGATTTTTCTAATTAAATAATTAAAAGTAGTCGAAATTTGAAATATTTTGGGAAAAAACATATATATGACTGGAGCTTTTATAAAAATATTCTACTTTCTTTTCAGCATTTGCATAACAATTCATGAGACAACTATTTCGTTTAATAATTAAAAAAATTAATGATAGTGGATTATCTGTTACGTACCTGACAGTTTTCGTTAACGATTCCACAATATTGGAGTCGACCAAATCAATTTTGTTGACCAGAATAACATCCGCTAAAGTTATTTGTCTATAAAATAAAAACAAAATAAAACACTAATCATTAATAATATTATCGATTTTTCAGTAAGATACACATGTGTGATATAGTGTTTGTCACTCGCATGTAAATTTGATAATTGTATCATTATTGGACTTTGTATGTTAATATGTATATGTGTATAAATTGCACCGGCATAAGTTATTTAGACGTTTTGGCGTTTACGGGAAATCGGAGGGGGCCGATGGTTTGAAAATTTGATTACAGAGGCGGATCTCCGTTTCCATGACGCTGATTTGATTTGGATATATTATTCTGCGTCCCGTCGTTTTTGCATAATAAATTCAACAGAGCGTGTATGTAATCTATTTATCTGTTTATACTCGTCAACAAAATGAGTTTACCCGTTTTGTGCAATTACAAAACCGATCACGATAACTTTGCAGAAAAACAAGTAAATAAATAACCACAATCGAACGGATTTACGTCCAAGTAATACATTTTAAGTATTATATTCAAACCAAGAAAAACCAAATTGGTGAACATATTTCAGAATTATTCATTAATTAGAATTGAAGTGTTATGGAGAAGTGGGGATAGAATGGTGATATGGGGAAATCGGTAAACTCTAGATAACTGAAAGAGATTTATTATTTTTTTAAATTTAATATTATAATATGATGTGTTGTAATAATTGTGTTTTAAATAAATGATACAGTTATTCAAAAATCACCTCTCACAATAACCTGGAAAAATGGCCGATGAGCTCAATTATTCTTACAGGATTAAAACCTGAATGTTCTAAGTAAGTGTATATTTTGTGAGGTTTTTAAGTCTAAATTGGTTTCTTGCACCACCAAAAAGGGCTTTAACCTCATAGAAATTGGATATAAATTGATGTCGAAAATGTATTATAAACACTTTTTTCTTAAATATTGCCTGTATAGAACTCTTAAAAGTAGAAACTTTGTAGAATCTATACAAGTACAAAATACGACAACGACAATATTTTACTTTCAAATAAAATATATACATTTTGTTACATAGTGTAACAAAATAAAATTAATTCCTATGGCTTAGAGATACATTTTATACATCTCGTATATGTATATATTAATCTGATGTATAGATTTTAAATACTATTTAAAATTTATATAGGTATATGTAAAACTTACTTATATATAAAAACTAAAAAAGGTTATTTTTATATTAAATATACATTACATAGGTATGTGGTTTTGCTATCAGAATAGTTTTTCTTTTATTTACTTACGAGTTATGAAATAATTTTTATTTTTATTACATTTTCAATAAATATAGAAATCAGCGTACGCTATACATGTGCAAGTAAATTTAAAAGGAACTGTATACAACGTGTTATGAGTGAAGGACAGCTATTATTTATAAATATGAGATAACTTTGGAATTCGCTTTTGTCACGTGTCTCAGACACCGGATATTAAGAAATACTAAGTACTTAATAATAATATATAATATTATACATATACATATGTTATTTATAACACATAACTATCCAATCCATTTTGCATTATATTGCATATGTACAAAAACCAATTATATAGACGCCTTTGATACCCCATGTGGAAACTATATACGCATTGCGCGACCGGTAAAAAGAGACCAGAGGGTCTGCTCCTCCATCGAGGATCGAATAGGAATGTGTGCTTACCAGAAAGCCCAAAGGTGAATCAGGAGCATACTACAATGGTAGTATGATGAAAGTATTCATTTTATTGCACATCCTGTCTATTGAACAAAAAAACCTTCAAGAGTTTCATATTAGCTGCCTATTAATTACAGCTGTAAACTATGCGTGTAACTTTTTAGCCATACGAAATTGAGAAGACGTTAACAAAGTAACAACTATTTAAGAATAAAACTAAGTAATATTATAGTCCAACTTTCAAAGTATTTTTAATTAGAGCGAAGTCGATATATTTATTTGACAACACGCAACATGATATAATATATATTACACTAGACCTATATATTTTTTGGTATTACCTAGATATTTAAATCCTCTGAAGAAATTATTAAACAATTAAAAGCATGAAGAAAAGTTGCATTCTATAATAAATCATAATATTCCGAATTACCAAAATACATGGTAATTTAAAAAAAGTATACAGTGTCATAATTAAAACAATAGAAAATATGTTTTGTTAACTTCAATAGGTAAATAATTGGGGAGAATAATATTTGATTCATAACTCTTTAGGAATTATTATAAATGAATACTATAGCCAAAGAATATGCCACACATGTTTGGAAGTATTTATATCTATTTTTCAAAAATGTATGGAGTGCCGTAATTTTAAGTTGAAAACTATGTACATTTTTGTCAATTTTGACTACGAAAGGGTGCTTCCACATTGAAGCTAAACATTTTATTTATTTTATTTTTTATTATTAACCTCGGCAGCAAAGGCCATTGGGTTACATTAGACTATATCAACATAAAATTAAAAACTAAAAATTATCTGTTAAATTGTAAAATGTTGTAAATAAATAAAATACTGACCTTAAAGAAGGGTTAATGGTATCATCCAAATTGAGATTATTCGAAATAGACGAGTCATCATTTAAATGCTGAAAAAAATAATAAAATCTATCAATACTTTTAAAGCCACTGCATTGGCTATATACAAGGAAAGCAGTATAGAAAAGTTAAACGTGAGAATTTAATTGGAATTCTTCTGTTTTTTCATTATATAAACTATGCGGACGAAGCTGAAAAACAATGGGGGGTCTTACTTGATTTGCATTTAAAAGACTAAAAATATTTGCAGAATTAATAAAAGAACAGTATTATTCAAAAACAAAAATATAATACATATAAAAATAAAAATATTATTGTATAGTAGATTTGAATGAGCCTTTCTACTTTTTTCACTTAAAAATACCCAGTTGGATCATTTAAAAATTAAATATTTTTTTAGTTGTTTTTTTAGCCAAAAATGTAATACCTTTCAAGTATTGTTTACATATTTTATTAATATTGTACATATTTTTAGTATTTAACAATATTTTGTAAATTATATTTGTAAGACATCATATTTCTGACAAAAACAATAATAATTGTTATAAGTGATAATTATCAAACCAAACATTTTTTGAGTAGTTAAAAATTTAGGATGATTTTATCAATTTATAAATTTAAGTTATAAATTAATTTGTGTATAATGTAATTACTGTTACTTAAATTTGTAAAATATTATTTAATTTAAATCACTGTAAACTGTTTAACTTTTCTCTTCTCCATATTTTTTTCTTAATCTAATAACAATACTAGTTATTATAACAATATAATATTACGGCATATCTACATCTAAAAGGGTAGTTTTTAAGTAAAATGAGTCTTAGCAGCAAAATGTTTTCGATAAACTGTATTAACTGATATACTATATTATTAAAGACCTAGATTATTTAATGTTTATAAAAATTAAAACATTCAGTATGCCTTTTTTTTACTATTAAAAATAGGTTTTGGCTAAAATGGTCATTGGTCAAAATTGGACCGTTTCAAAATAAATTGAATAAGTCTTATTTATTAATATTTATTCTAAATTTTGAATAACATAAAAATATAGCTAATGGCTCTAAAACTTAAACAAAATGATTTAATTCTTTAAATGGTTTGTAGAGAGATGGTGTCCATATTATTAGAGCCGTTGAAGTGTTAACATTGGAATAATAATATTAAAACGTAGGCTATTTTTTAACATATATTTAACTTTAAAAATTATAAATATAAACTGTAAGGTTAAAATTAATATTCTTACAGTGTAACTTGTTAAAGATGATTAATTGCATAAGATGGAATATATTTATTGTCACGTTAAATTGTTTGCATGCATAAGGGGAACGGAAAGAGCTATTTGTTAAGAGGTAAAAGATAGATAATATTTGACATAAATTGGTCTAGTAGCAATTTCGAGTATGATATAGGTATTAGTTTAAAGATTTGTTTGTTAAAAATAAATGTTAGTGTTTATGCGTTACGTTATTTTTTAATTTATTTTTGTGATCTATGGTGAAAGTTTGATCGAACTTTCACAGTTTGATCGAACTTTCACAGTTTGATCTTATAATACTTTTACAGAAGTTATTGTCTGGTGAATTTATTGAACGTATTTCAACATTTTTTTATATAATAAGCTTACAATTGTACAAAAAATATTATTCTATATAGAGTATACAAAGTATCGATTGTTTGTTATAAGTTATTAAAAAAAAAGAAATACATTTTTTTGAAAAACTATAACAAAAATTAATGCTAAGAAGTTATAAATGGTAATTATTCAAAAAACGTACTTAGTTACAAACTACAATAACGTAATTGAATTACAATCAAATTGTGATTTTTATTTTGTGAGTTTTTTTACAATATTGAAGGCAATTTTAAAAATTAGACCTGGTAATAAAAGGAGTTTATAGTTTGTTCTCTGTGAGATCATGTCTGAACAAAAACCAAAACGCATTACTCTCGTGAACTCTGGGCTAGTGCATACAAGTTATTTGTTTTGGTTCTTGGTAGGTGTAGACTCTTGTAAAACAGAGCATAGATTCAAATTCAGTAAAAAAAAAAAAGTAAAATGTATCTATTTTGGTTTTTGTTTAAACATGTAAAATATTGTTGTACCGAGTTATTTAATTTATATTATTAAGAAAACATTGTTAACAACAATTTGACGGGCTTTTCAAGCATCAAGAATTTTTCTAACATATTTAGTTATTTTTTCTCTAATGTAATAAAAAACTTACAAAAAAAAAAAATAATAAACAAGAATTTCCTTTTGCTTAAAAAACAATCAACAGTGGTTGATATCTGAGACTATATCTAAATTTAGCAAAGAAAGTAAGTTCAAAATTATAAAACTAATAAAACATCACACTGCAAATGTCATAAGATTATGGTTTATTTTACAACTTTAGAGATCATTTTTAACTAAATATGTCAAACAAATTCTGTGACAAAATGTATGCACGTGTTTAAGTTTTTGTTCAAAATATATAATAGTGCCATATTATTTTATAATACAATTAAATAATAATTTAGATATCAGCGCTCTATTCAAATCAAAAGATCAAAATGTCAATCCTATTTTCCATAGATGTTTAATTTTATGACAAAACACTTTTTATTATATCAGTTTGGTAGACACCTTGGAATTTCACTGTGTTTTAGTCTTTTTTTGGACAAAATATTACTCTTTCCGTTCCCTTTTTATATGGGATTTTCTTTTGGTCACGAGCGATTCCTTCTTAGACCATTTTCACAGTAATTGCAACAAAGTAATAACAATAACAATAATAATTTTACTTTAGTAGCAAACTTGCTGTCAACAACACAAACAATCCCTGAAATAAAATGATAAATAAATACATTTTATTTTTTTCTAATTCAGTTGATAGAGAATAACTAATTATTATTACCATCTAAATGAACGTCGCTTCCCAATTCACTGTCTACCCAGAACAATTTTGCAATTGGACCTACATAAAAACAAATTGTATTACATAACTGAGTTTTAAGTTGCTTCGTTATTATAATATATACATATTACCAGGATCGGCGAGTCCAGTTGTTTCCAATAGTATGTAATCAAATTTTCCCCGTTTTAACATCAAATTTTCTATAGCTTTGATACCATTATCTTTGACTGAGCAACATAAACATCCATTTTGCAGCTCTAGCCATTCTTCACAAAGATTTCCTTTCTCGCCAATTGCAATTACTTTTTCCATCGTGTCACCTATAAATCACATAAAAATGATAATAATTGGTATTTTTAAGTAGAAGTATTGTAATCGGAAGTCTGATTTGACAGGTCAGACGATATAGGTTTAAGTGCTTCAACCACAGAGTTACTATATACGTCTTTATTGTATCATTATATCAGGATCTTGGATAATGTGGTATCTATAGATATGTCTTATACTAGAAAATATTTGTACTACATAACCATATCAATTATCGTATGGCGCTAGTATTATTTCAATATGTACACTAATATTGGAATAAATAACGATAGCGTTATACTCTAAGCGACATTGTACATGATTTAACGTTGAGACGAAAATTCCTTAATGCAATTTAATAATAAACTGTTCAACTAATACAGACTAAAGATGCAGCAAAATAAAATACTACCTTCTCCAAACTCGTTGAGAATCACAGCGATTTTTTTATTGTGTTGTTCAGTGAGTATATAATTTAAAAGTGTCGTTTTACCGGATCCTAAATAACCCGTAATCAATGTCACCGGTACAGGTTCTAAAATGACAGCATCCACCAAAGACGGTATTTCTTCGTCAGAATCCATAATGTAAAATGACTTAATGTTATCATCAAGTTATAACAAAAACAATCGAAACCATGAATAATTGAATAACGTTCGTTTTCAATTTTCGAAATAATTATCATAACAGCTCACAAGGTTTATTATCAACGCCTGATAAGCAGAGTAGTCAAATATTTATTGATATGAAGTTGACAACAAAATAACATAGACATCAATATAACACTGAAGCTACCATCTGCCCGCAGCTATATAATACTACATTAACAGTGTATTAGACCACCAGATAGCAGTAACATTTTGCACAAAAAAAATTGTTTAGCAAACTAACATTTTTTGTAATGTGTAACAAATTGTTGTTATAGTAAGGCCCTAATACGACTGCCACGTTTATAACATAACCGTATTTAAACGATATGAAATTCGTAAAAAGTTGATCAGTGAAATCGAGTAGAGCCAACTCAAAACGACAAAATATGAAAAACAGCGTGTCGATCGAGTGTACCTAGAGACAACGGCCGCATATATCACCTTGACAACTATAGCAAAATACCAACGTACCTGTCTTTTGTTTAGTACTTTTTGAATCTTCTTAGTTTAAGTCGTGAACAATCAATTTTTTTTTCAAGCCATACCTACGTACCCCGACTGCAAAAAAAAATCAAAAATCGGATTATTTTTAAGAATTTTTTGTTAGATGTAAAACCATATTGTATGTTTTTATATGACAGATTGTTAAATATCGCATTTAAATAAAAAAAATAAAAAGACTTTTCGGGGGTAGTTTTGTCGCGTAACTGTCGCCCTGCCTTAAGAAAAAGTAGGTTGTACGGTTTTTTTTCATTAAAACGCATAAGTATATCGAAGAATATTAAAAATATTTGAAATTTTTCTAACAAAATTTGCCCACCGATGGCCTCTGAAATTTAAGGGGATTGCATGCGGTTGGTTTTTAAGTAGTTTTGTATAGGCAATATTTAGGAAAAAAGTGGTTTTAATAAATTTTGATCATGTCAATTAATTTACCGGTTAATTTGTATAAGCTTCATGGTATTATTTTTATTTTAAATTATTTTCTCTATGAGTGAAAACCATTTTAGTTAATATAACATACATTTTTTGTTCCATCGCACAGGCTGAAGCAGTGATCCGATAAGTAATCTAAAAACAGATTTGAATTTGTCATGAAGTTTACTTGAGATCGATCAGCGTACTTTTTTGATATCTTATTCCTACTATGTATAAAACACGTTTGAACATTTTATAAAATTTCAAATTTTAAAATCAAATTTGGAAAAGGTTAAAATTAAAAATTAAAAAAAGTACCCTGACCGATCATAAGTAAACTTCATGGCAAATTCAAATCTGTTTTTAGATTGCTTATCGGATCACTGGTTCGGTCTGTGCAATGGAATAAAAATGATGTGTTTTTACTGAAAAAACCGACCGCATGCAATCCCCTCAACGATATTATTATATTAGGTACATCTATGTTGCTGTGTTCAGTGAATAAAACAAAAGTGTGTACACAAAATGTGATTTCTTAGGCCCTCGCCGAAAGAAATCTGTCGTTTACATTAAAATGTCATTCCACAAATCCACGTGCTTTTATACATTTTTTTTTTTTTTTTTTTTTATTGATCAAAAGCCTCGGTTACAATGACCATTGGCTATACAATACAATTATCTTATTTTATAATTTTTGATATATACAATAAATACTATTTATACGAGTACATACAAGTCAGATTGAGAGATAAAATTAACAGTTTTGGAGACGTCGGAATATGGACCCAGAGCTTCCCATATATCGTCAGGCAGTTGGTTGATTTTTTTGAGGTCTTCGTATTTTTTACATTCAACTAATACATGTTTGACCGTGAGAGAGGTGCCGCAGGTTTGACATACTGGCTTGTTTTCTTTTTTTAGTAAGTACATATGAGTAAGTTTTGTGTGTCCAATTCTTAGTCTGTTTAATATGACTTCAATTTTCCTACTACGTATGCTGTTTTTTTTTTATAAAATTATACTAAATTTAAATGATTAGTAATTACTAATATAGTAATTTTCGAAAAATTCAACTTCTTCATCCGCACGAGTACTGTCTAAATCAGAACAGTCAAAACCAAGCACAGTTTAAGCCAGCACAATAAGAAATTACTAAATTGGTGTTCAGTATCCAGAGATTCGTATCGAAGCGTTTTCTTGGATGTGGATTAATATTTTCTCCATATAACTTGATTTCTAGTATTAGAATCTAGCGCTGTAAATTCTAATGAGTTAATTGCCAACTAATTATAGTTTTAACTTATTTATAACTTATATTATTTTTTATAGATGTTTTCCTTTATGTTGCGTTTCTGCATCACCTTTACTAACGCTATTAGGTATTAATAAATGGGATTAGAGAAGCCAGAAGGTCTCCAGTATGAAAATAATAAAAAGTTTAAAAGCAAATCCCTACTAACATTCTTTACCGTACAACTCGTTGCCCTAGTAAATCTTAATACGTTAGTAAAGCAGCATAGTAGGTATATAACTAACTTAGTAAAAAGCTAACATACAAAAATAATCAATAATATAGTCAATAGTTGAAAAGTTCCTATAAAATCACATTTAAGAAAATGATTCGATGGTATTAACTGTGCTTGGTTCCGAATGTACTAGTTTAGACTGTGCTAGGTTATACAGACTCGCATCGAAGCTTTCGAAAGTGATTAAATCACTTTCAAATTAAATACCCTCATTAACAACTATGCTAATTTATTATAATTAAGCTTGTTTTATACTGTTCTAGTTTGGTATGCGCTTGTTTTTTTTATTACAATTACTATATAACACTCAGGGTCGTATTTATAGTCAGTTCTTAAAAATAAGCATTGCTTAAGCTACCGTATTCAAGTATGGTAATACGGTAGCTTAAGCAATGCTTATTCTTAAAAACTGACAATAAATACGGCCCTAACTGTTACGGACATCCATTGACTTAATTTTTTTTCCTTAGGCGGCTAAATAACTAAAAGGTAAAAAAAAGCCAGCAAAGTGAGGTAGGGGCATAGTAGGGATGGAGCATATTAGGGCGGAGAAGGTCAGAGGTTTGATTTTATTAAGTTGTGTATCGGAGTTTCAAAATCAAATACAATAAAACAATATTTTTAATGAGTTTTTAATTTTTAATTATACCATATTATGTGCAAAAATATGAAATATTTTTATTTTTCATTTATATTTTTTTCTTTAACAAAATATAAGAAAATCTTTATAAAGTTTTGTTAATGAAGAAATCAGTAATCAAAGAGAAGTGATCGGAAGGATAATTTATGGAGGGAATCCTATTTTTTCCAATTAATTCTTCACTTGGCATGTCAACTGTGCTACTAACAGTTAGGTAATTTGTGGTGTAAAATATGTAATCAATAGTTCTTTTTATTTCGCATCTTCCTCTAATTTTCCATGTTGTAAACTCTACTTCTTTATTAGATATATTGTATGCGCTTTTTAAGCTTAATTGAGGGTCACTGATCATAGTTGTATATACGGGTTCAGTAGGTTCAGCATTGAAATCGCCGCTTATAACAGTCGGACAGCCACTAGCATGTTGGGTTACAAATTTCAAAAGCTCTTCACCTTGTTGGTTTCTTAAGAATTCATTATCTTTACCTGTCATGGATTTGAGATGAGTGGTGGCTACACATAACTTGTTCAACGAACTTTTATTTTGTAGTACAATTAACAATGCCACCTGACGACTAAACGAACCTTCTGCTGAATGAGAATAGACCAACTCATGTTTTGCTAAAAGCTCATACTTAAGACTATTGTAAAATATTGCACACCCATCTGGTCCATTATTTCCATCAAATTTAACACAAGGTGAATATGCCTTTTGTACAAATACACCACTATATGACTGAGTGGCCAAGGCTCTATTAAAGAAATCAAAATGATCAACTTCTTGAAAGCACATAACATCGGATTTATATTCCAGGATCTCATAGAGTATTTGACATCGTCGATATTCCCATAGCAATGCTTCAGTAGGACAACTACTAAAATTATCACCGAATTGAAGACCTAAAACTTGCGACAAAATGTTCCATTGTAACACCCTTACCGTATCTTCTGAATTTCGGGAAGAATTGTTTAGTAAAGACTTCCTTAGAATAAGTTGTCTTATATTTAATGGGCTGTAACTAAAACAATAACTCAACAAATCTTCACTCGTCATATCAGCTTTGAAATCCAATTCCAATTCTTGATGATCTCCCTGGCCGCCTATAATGAAAAAATAATATTAAGTTCATTGTTTAAGGTATCAGAGAAATCGTTTCAGAGCATTTCTATATATATTTAATCAAAATTAAATGATTACATGATAATACAGATATAACTTTTTTAGAAATTAGTTTTTCAGTTTTCTCAAAACAATACTAACATAATGACATAATACGATAGTAATAGTTGTAATAATACATAATAAATATAACTTTGGAATAATATATATTATAAAAAAGATACCACCATTTGTATTATTTGTTATCATAGGATATTATGCTGTTATCAACCTCACTGTAGCGAATGCTCATGATTACAGCAGGTTGATTATACATAACATTAGTTGAGTAAAGAGTGAAATATTGTTATATTAAATTGTTAAAACTTAAAAGTTTATTTAAAATTAACGTCATCTACTGAGGATAGAATTTTAATTGTCGTTTATTTGTTTTCAGGTAAGAGTTATGTAACTAGTAAAAATAAGGCATGTAAATAATATATTAAATAATTGTTTTTCAGCTCAACACATTTAGTATACTTCTTATAAATTGAATATTATATAAGGGACCCTTACAAATATATATATAGGTATATAAATATTATATATATGTACAAATATATATATATATATATATACAGGGTGTCATGGTAAGTTCTACCGAGCTTCAAATGAGACATTCAGGATGCTCTATAGGTACAATAAATGGTATTCATTTTTTTAAAATTTTAAAATTATTTAAAATAGAACTCGTATCTCATTAAAAAATTATCTTACAAAAAAAATAATGTCAGATTTGAAATCGGGAGAAAAATTCTTGTTCAGTTGATATGTAACACGATTTTTTGGTATCTGGCCACATTTGCCATTTTGAAATAAAAAAAAAAAAAATGAATACCATTTATTGTACCCATAAAGCATCCTAAATGTTTCATTTGAAGCTCGGTAGAACTTTCCATGACACCCTGTATATATATTTGTAAGGGTTCCTTATATAGTATTCAATTTATAAGAAATATACTAAATGTGTTGAGCTGAAAAACAACTATTTAATATATTATTTACATGCCTTTTTTTTACTATTTACATATATATATATATATATATATATACAGGGTGATCCACTTATCGTGAATCACTCAATTACTCATAGGGTTTAATAGGAAATTACAATTGTTTTTCCCACATTGTTTTTATACAATGTGATCTTAACTTTTCACAATTTATTTTGTTTTTACCCCCCCCCCCCAACTTAGTTTTTTTGATAGCAACTTTTGAAACTTAAATGGTAACGTATATATTTTATAAAATGTTTAAATTGAGAATAATGTACCAAACATTTAGACTGGTCGATAACCAGTTTCAGATAACTATTTTTGAAGTTATTGAAGGAGGAAAGGTAGAGTGTAGTATTATTTTTATCTGCGCGCATTTCCCAACCGCACTTCCCCTCCCATCATAACTTTAAAACTCTTATAACTTTAAAAATAGTTATCCGAAACTAGTTATCGACCAGTCAACATTTTTAGTGCATTATTCTCAATTTAAAATGTCAATAATATATATATATACGTTAACATTTAAGTTTCAAAAGTTGCTATCAAAAAAACTAAGTTGGGAGGGGGGTAAAACAAAAAAAATTGTGAAAAATTGAGATCAAATTGTATAAAAATAATATGAAGAAAAAATGTAATTTCTTATTAAACCCTATGAGATATTGAGTGGTTCACGATAAGTGGTTCACCCTGTATATATCATTTTTATACTGTAATTATCGTTTGTAAAATGTCAATAATTCTTTTCTTCTTTATCTTCGCCTTACACTCCTAATTACACGGGGTCGGTCACCCTAGTCCTACACCTCTAAAGTTTGCAATCTTTTACATCTCGTTCAACTAGCCCAGCTATCCTCATATCACTTTTTAGTCTGTATCCCGTCTATCCATCACTTATTCGGTCTTCTTTTTGCTCTCTTTCCTTCTACATTCATCTTCGTGACAACTCTCACTACTTCTGTTTCATTTCTTCTCATAACATGATAACATGACCGAACCATCTCAACATATTCTCTCTCATTTTCCCCATAGTTGATGCAACTCCTAAACTCCACCTTATGTATTAATTTCTTATTCTATCCTCCCTAGTCATTCCACCCATTCATTTAGCATTCACATCTCTACTATACTCTCTGTTCAGTTTTCTTGTCTACTGCCCAGCATTCCGACCCATGTAACATTGCTGGCCTCACTACCGTCCTATAAAATTTACCTTTTAATCTTATAGGCATTTTCCTGTTAACACTTGACGCTCCCCTCCACTTCATCCATCCACAATATATCCTATTTTTGACATTTTCATGTCTTAGCTCTGGCACATAACCAAAAACACTCTTTTTTTCCTTAACGTCTACCTGAAAACCTCTCTGGGAACTCTATCATATGCCTTTTCTAAACCTATAAATATCATACACAGTTTTATTTTTTCTCCTGTATGTCTCTTACAAAATAATGGTTCCATTGTTGATTTTCCTGGCATAAACCCAAACTGATTTTTCGATGTTATAGTCTCACTCCACATTCTCTTTTCTATAACTTTCTCTCAAACTATCATATTATGCCTCATCACTTTTATTCCCTCATAATAATACATATTAGTATTTTTCCCCCATAGTTTTATTACACACTCCTGCACATTTTCCTTGCCTAAAATATTTGTACCAGAATACTTTTCCTCCAAAATTCCGGCATCTTCCATCTACCTTTTTATACCTTGTTAAGGAAACCTGTCAACAACTCTATGCCAAAGTTGCCTAACACCTGCCATACCTTTACTAGTACCCCATCCGGTCCTGCTGCTTTCTTCTTTTTATCTTTCTAACTGCACTCTACACTTCCTGTTTTCTAATTAAGTCCACCATATCTAAATTCCACACTACCTGCTATCTTTCCCCCCTTAGAAGTTCCTCATTCAATAGCCTTTCAAAGTACTCTTTCCATCTCGTTTTTACATCTTCATGATACGTCAACACATCTGTATCTTCTCTTTTCATATACCACACATTCTGAAAAGCACTGGACCTCGAATATGTGGATAATTCTTTATAACCTTTAAATGGTAATTATGGTTTATAATATAATAACTTTTATAAAATATGCAAGCACTAATTGATTTTTGTAAAATATATTTCAATTACATTGTTATATATAACTATTTCTACGATTTATATTTCTAAATATTCTCAGTATTACAAAGCTTGACAACCTATTCTGAGCAATTATTAAACGGAGTTATGTTTTATTAAGTTTTAGACGGCTAAATGATTTTTTTGTAGTTGTACTACTTACTGGATCTTGGGAGAATATTGTGTTTATTTTTCATAATACAGGATGATTTTTTATCATGAGTCACTCAATATCTCAATAATTAATAAGAAATTAAGAAATTTTTTTTTTCATTTTTATTGTTTTTATACAATGTGATCTCAATTTTTCACAATTTATTTTGTTTTTACCCCCCTTCTAACTTAATTTTTTGATAGCAACTTTTGAAACTTAAATGGTAACGTATATATATTATTGACATTTTAAATTGAGAATAATGTACTAAAAATGTTGATTGGTCGATAACTAGTTTTGGATAACTATTTTTTAGTTTATACGAGTTTTAAAGTTAAGATGGGAGGGGAAGTGCGGTTGGGAAATGCGCGCAGATAAAAATAACACTACACTCCACCTTTCCTCCTGCCCTAAACTTGAAATTTCAATAACATAACTTCAAAAATAGTTATCCGAAACTGGTATTATATTCCAGAAGAATCATTGCTCCGGTACCCTGATTAAGTTAGCGTATAATTTATACCGGGTGATTCATTTAACGCCCTACATTAGTTTACTCTTAAAATAATTGAAAATTTGTAGCGGTTATTTTTGAAAAACATTTTGATTATACTATATTACTATATAAAACAATATTAAAATTTTTTTTTTTTTAGTATTTCTAGAGCTTTTGAAACTTAAATGGTAACATATGTATATTTTTAACTTTTTAAATTAACAATAATTTTCTGAAAAAATTGACTGGTCGATAACTAGTTTTGAAAAATTATTCTCAAAGTTATTTAAGTGTAAAATTTAGGACAGGAAGTGGAGTGCGGTTGAGAAATAGCGCGCAGATAAAAATAACTCTACTCTCCACTCTTCCTCCCGTCCTAATCTATAAAATTTAATAACTTTACAACTATTTATTCAAAACTAGTTATCGACCAGTCAATTTTTTTTAGCAAATTATTGTTAATTTAAAAAGTTAAAAATATATATACGTTACCATTTAAGTTTCAAAAGTTGATAAAGCTCTAGAAAATATTAAAAAAGTTAAAAATTTAAATATTGTTTCATATAGTAATATAGTATAATCAAAATGTTTTTCAAAAATAACCACTACAAATTTGCAATTATTTTAAGAGTAAACTAGTGTAGGGTGTTAAAAGAATCACCCGGTATATGTATACAATATAAATAGATAAATATAATACTTGATAATGTTGCATGAACGAAGACTAATTTTGCAGTAAGAAGAAACACAAGTTTTCGTAAAAACATGATTAGCAACAAAATAATGAATTACTGTTGAAAAACATAAAAATTAGTTTAATAGTAAGTATCAGTTTCACGTCGTGTGCGAACGATTGCAGAAAATATGTGGGAAAACTTAAAATATTTAAAAGCTTTTCTAATAGTCAAATAACATACTATAGGTGCTAAACCCCAACAATTTTTCTAATATGACTAACACTTAACGAAACTGAAAAAAAAATACTGTGTGGTTTTATGTAAACATCTCATATATTGACTTAGAATATACGTAGTATTTATTCGCAAGACTGCCACAACTCAAAATTTGATTTTTTTTTAGTCAAGGCTAAAGGTCTATCGCTATAATATTTAACTACAAAGTGGTCTCCCGCCACAAGTCGTAATTCAACCAACGCTTCAATAATGCATTCGATCGGCGTTTTTTTCATTTTGGCAGTTGAAAAAAAATATTACTGCCGCATTTTTAGACACTGAGTAGTTGGATGTGTTTTTTTAAACGTTCACTACATAAGATGTTAAAATAAAACAAAACTGTATTTTGTTTTTGTTAAGTATTAGACAAAAAAATGAAATCAAGACTGCCTTATTTCGATTTTAGGAATTTTAACGTAATAATTCTTAACCAGATGACACCCGTGAAAAAACAATGAGCTGCCACATTTTGTATATTGTAGCTTTAAATTAGTTTAAAAAGTCAAACAAAACTGTTACATTTTTCACTATAATGTATAAAACATGTGATTTGAATTGGTAACTGCCACAAAAACCAAAAGTGGCAGTTTAATTTTTTAAAAACATTTTTTTTTAATAGCCATAACCGCAATTTCTCGCATCTGATTGAAATTCAACTAAGTAGCTTAATATAAAAATAACAAGCGTTGGGTAATATAAATAATTGCAAAGTTTTACAATTAAAGGTTTAAAACTAATTTAGGAGCAGTAAGAATCTAAAAATGTAATTTCCTCAAAATACATTTTTTTAAGTTGTGGCAATATTGCACCTATGGTTGAAGCCTGTTCTTCACCGACTAAGTTATTTTAAATATTTATGTAATACATTTTCATTTTTTGTATTTTATACCGATCGCGGTACTTTGTCTTTTTAGCAATACTTAGCTATAAATATAATACGTATACAGTTTGTATTATATTACATTGTATCGAATACTAATTTTGTTTTGGGTTTTGTTCATAATGAAATATTTTTTAGAATTTGCGATTATTTTTTGTAAGAAAAATAGTCATTTTGGTGAACAAAGAAAAATTTTTTTGGGAAGTATATTATTATAATGTTACCTAGTGCTATTTTAGCTATGATTCCTGCAAGTTGCAGTGTTCGCCAAGTATAATGTTAAGTATTATGTTGATCTAGAAAAAAAATAATACTATATTTTGGATGAAACAATAGAAAACCCTGTTCTAAGTTTTTTTCTACAGTCTTATCGTCGAGAAAATCTTGGTGCTCAATAAAGGTTTACCCAGTAGAAAAATTATTGATACAAGTGTACTCTAGAAAAAGACTACGAGTAAAAACATTAATTCGAAAACAGCATAACATAAGAAATTTAAAGAAGTAATAACATAAAAATAATTTTTTTTATAATATGAAAATTGTAGGTAAATTATGTTCTACTAGAAATAATTAGAAATGTATTCACATGAAAATTGACCAGCGTTGTACATGCATTTAAACGAATTTAAATCATTAATCATCTGTTGCAATTATGATTTAGTTTTTATGTACAATATTTGGCTTAAGTTTACTATTAAAAGCCAACTCGTAAACATAATAATATTTGTTCACTAATTTCGTTTTTGATCGATTATTATTTACTAATAAAAAATCATGTTCAAGCAAATTTCAAGCGGATAGTCTATTACACTTTAAGAACTACACCTTTTTAAATACCACTTTTAACTTAACATAACATAATATTTTAGGCTATACTTATAATTACCTGTTTAGGAAAATTAAGAAGAATTGCGCTTGCTATTTTGAAATAAAGAAAAAAGTATAAAAATATATTTAAAAAAATATAAATAACACTTTTAAGTTGCATGATAATGTTTGCAGAAAATTAAAACTTTAAATGATTCTCACCCTTTCCAGATAGTTTCTTTATAACGCATTTTGTAGCAAATTTTAGTAAAACTAAACAACCTCAAAAATTGTTTTATAACAATTACTTACAGCTTTCAATAAAAAAATTAACCCTGTTCACACAGTCGTCTAATAATAAAATGTGTTTTTTATAACAAACGTTTTATAGAAAATTTTTTTTTCAAATTGTCTATTATTATATTTTGTTGTTTTTAATTTTTTGGACTGTAGGTTTCGTTTTATTACTTGTGTCATATGTTTAGGTATTTTCCATAATTACATCGGACAATTTAAGTATTTTTATTCTGCATTTCACATCTTTTTTCATTAACCTATAAATGAAACGTTTAATTCAATTACAATTATACATTAACACTAATTAGTAATTTTTAACAAGTGAAAAATATCTGTTTAACTGATAATTTGCAATATATAAATGTTACCTTTTTTAGGAATAAATTTCATGTTATATAATATTGTGTTAATATAATAAATCTAAATTTATAATTTTACAAGTAATTTTATTGTTTATAAAATATTAGTAGAAAGGATCAAAATTTAAATTTTCAAGACGAATAAAAATATCCTCAACTGAAAACACAATGGTGGATAGATTTAAGATATTAGTAGTATCCAGTAAAGATGTTCTATTATCTAATCGGGTGACAGAATAACATGAGCTAATAAAATTCTTAAATAGAATTTTGTATATGTATTATTTATTATTATGTCTGTAATCACTGTGATCTACACAGAATACTATCAATTTATTTTCTTTATCTTTATGTATACTAAACTTTTATTTACCTAGATTCAACAACACTACTCTTTTTTTAGTTCTAAATTGTACTGCCTAAAAATGTCAAAATAGTACACCAGCTAAATTGGCTATAATTAGTAATATCGATACACAACAATAATATTGATGTCCTTTGACTTATAAGTTTAATACAACTATGTTTTTATGCAATTCATCCGGCCAATAATATATTATAATAAGTCATAATAAATGATTATAAAATAATTATTTCATCTCAATATCACACTTACGAGTATAAAGACTAAACGTAAAGCTATCTACGCCCTGTTCGTAAAGTGAACTGAAAAAGTACCCATAAATCAGTCAGTCTGTTTACAAAGGTATAATCTAATACACAACAGAGTTTTTTAACTAGTTACTCTGCCAAAATAAGTTTAACGGTGGGAGTAAAGGAAAAAAATACATTCATGTTTTTTTAAAAACCTATTTGGTACGCAAATCTGAGTATTGAGCCTAAAACTTTTTTTTGTTTATTTACTGATACAAAACAACATGGTTGACTTATACCTACAAAAATAATAGCTTTAGAAATAATTCCGTGGTCACGACTGTCTAAATTCAAAGTAATTTAAGCGTTTTAATTTAACTATTGCTTATAGGTGATGTTTGTAGTTACACTATAACTCATATAATAAGTTAAGTAATAAATTTCACTTAATTACTATGGTTTTTGTTGTTGTAATTTAAGATTTTTGGATAAGGACATTATTTTAAATAATAAATTATTTATTACTTACAGGTTAGGTTTATAGTGTCCTCTGGGTAATTAAGTTTATTGATAAATAATTTTCATTTGAGATACAACAATAATTATTAAACCAATCAAACGAAGATAGAGCTCTGTACATTTATAAAAATATATACATACAGTATAATATATACATTATTAATAATAGAACATGATGTTTTTTTTTACAATGTTCAAATAAATATACAAAACGAGCGCTAAATAGAATAGTATTTAGCAATAATTAGAAATTTGAATAATTTATTTCGGATACCTCTAAAATTCCATAAGGAACATTATAGCAGTTATTTTAATAAATTATTAAAAAATGGTTTAACAAACAATAACATTACATAAGTCAGGTAACTTATTACTATCATAACAAAGATTTTTATTATTTTTAAATTTAACTATGGTTGCCACTTGAAGTAAATATTATATTACAGGTAATACTAATTTAAATATATAATCGTTATAATATACTTCAAGAAATTATTGACTAATAATAGTTTTAAAATAAAAAGACATTTATTATGATCATCGCATAAATTAATTCAATGATCAAGTTGCTATGTGCCACGATCACAAAAACAAATTGATAATTATAATAATTATCTTAGTTAAAATTATACCTTACATTTTACAGTACATTACCTTAGCTGATATTTCACAACTTTTAAAATATTCATTTTTTTTAAATAAAACAAATAATTATAACACATACATTATTTTATTTTATTGACTTAACATTAATGCACAGTGACACCCTGTGTATACAATGAAATGATAAATCATAGGTCATTCTGAACATATATTTTGTATACAGCATAAGACGACAAGTAAAGGGCATGTCAGGGTAAATAATATTGTAGATATTTTTCTAATGTTTATTAAATCCATCAAGTGGTAAATGTATTCATTTTTAATCATAAGTAATTACAATGACATAGTTATAGTACAGACTAAAATATTTATAGTGTTCTTAAACATTTATAATTATAATGAACTAACAGTATAACAACATCTACGCATAACACAGAAACTATAATAATATGATATATAATTAGTATGTAGGTTGCATAACAGTAATTTAACTGTAGGCCGTCGTATCTTAAAAAATCTAACTTTAAACGTTTTTAAAATTAGATACTATTTATTTTTATTTTTTAAATTTTAAATCGAAAGGTATGTAAAGATTGAGGCACAATTATTAAAGTTGTTCAACTACGGTACAATTTTAATGTGAGTCAATTTATACAATTTTCTTTTTATTATTAAAGGTAAAATATTTTTATTTTTATCCGTGATATGTAATATATGTACTGTTGTATTATTTATTATTATTATTGTTTTAACAAGTAAAAAATAGAGAAATTGAGTACTTGCTTAAGCTTTAATGTAATAAAAGTGAGCAATGGAAACTAGGAAGTTGTTATTATCATATATTAAAAACTTTATAATTATGAAAAAAAAAATTATGTGATATTATTTTCATCGATATACTCAATTTTTTAAAAAATGTTGTGCATTGAATAGCAAACATAAAAACACTCTGATGTAAATACATTTGTAATAATGGATAATTGTATTTTCATTATTTACATTCATAAAATATTTATAGCATCATAAAAAGAAGTCGGATAAATAATTGGTGTTCTTTAAAAAGTATTAAATTTGTGCGATGAAAGGTAAAATTTCTCGTTATGTTGTGTTTAAAAAAAAGTTTAATAATTTTTTATGTAGTTGTAAAAAAAATGATATTATTCATAATACTGCCATTTAATAATATTTTTAAAAACATTGTTTTTGTTGTAAAGGTTGCAAAACTACAAGGAAAAAAAGAGAAAATGTATTTTTATTTTTCATCAGTTGTTATATTTTGGTGTTAGAAAACATACGTTTTATGATAATTAAATTAGTTATTGCTTCAACAAAATTTGCAGTTGTAAGGTATAAAATATTTATTTAGTGTACAAATTTTTTTTTTATTGTTTGAGTACAATTTTGTTTATTTGTGTTCGTAGAATTAATTTTAATGTGACTGTATTTGATAATGAGCTAGGATACGATTTAAAACTATTTTATTTAAAAATTGGAACAACTAATTTCATCTAAATACGGGTAGTCGTTTCATAGCAAATCATGTAAATGAATTGCACATCAAATTGTAACAGCTGAGCTTAGACCTTATCAATGGAATACGGAACGTACCTAATATAACCTTTAAATACAATATAAATAAAGTTGGTATTATAATATATATATTTATATTTAATTATTCACATTATTTATGTCAAAACTGTTACTATAGATCTCTGGCAGTGAATATGAGCAAAAACGGCACGATCATGGCGCTCACGATTGGCGGACATAGTGGAATGCTGCCCTGGCCGTGGTGCATTGCGGCTGGATGTTCACCTGTAAATAATTTATACAAATCATTACCAAATGCATTTTTATTGTAGTGTTGCAAATTTAATAAATGTGGAAAGAAAACAACAATAATGAGCCATTATAATCTTTAATATAGGTTGTATAACAAACAAAAAAACAACAACAGTAATGGTAAACAGTCAGACAGATTCAAACGAATAAATTAAAAAATATATAAATATTTTGTAATCCTAAAAAACTGAAAAGTCAATAAGATAAACGATAACACATAATAAGATAACACATTATCTAATGACATAAATGGTCTCAAAACTTTAATTTATTGTACTTGGGAGTATTTTATGAGGTAGGTGTTTTGCTAGGAACAAATATTGTTTATCATATGAATTGATAGCCCCCTCCCGCACCTCAACAAAAATTAAAATAATGCAATTCATCAGCTTCAGTAGGTACGATTATTGAAAGTAACCCGATGTATTATCATAACTTAGAGATTTTTAACTGTAGTTCTTATGGCTTAATGATAAATAGTGATAATGATAATCATTATGACATATAGTTTATTAACACTTATAATAGTAACATAAATGCAACAATATTTGTTTTTTTTTATTAATATCACGATTAAATTTGTTTTTTTTATAATAATTTAGAAATTAGCTGATTCCAATAAAAAACTAAAGGACGAGTAAAAAAAGTTGTTTGCATCAGACCGATTAATCGTTGATGACAGTGGATTAGTTTAATATTTATTTTATACTAAACTTTATGCTTTTGGGATTATAGCTTTATGCAAAAATCTCATCTCGAATGTTTATTTAACGGATATTTATCTAAAAGCCAATTTCGCCGCTCTGGGCGTACTGTAATCCTATAGGTACCTATATATATATATATTTATCCTAATAGCCGGCGTTTCATCATTTTTTATATTATATCATAGGCGGAGACGATAATTTATTCCCGTATTATGGGATAACATCAAAACAAACGTGTGGGTATGACATTGCTGACGCGACGACGGCGGTGTTAATAAAATGACCGGTCTACATATTTTCCGAGTGTAATTTTAAGGCCACTAACCGTTTAAAATATGAACCCTGATGGTAGCCGAATTTGCATTTGACGGATCGCAAGAGTAGTAGCCGGTATCTGAAGACGACGCCTTTTGAATTAATAATCTGCTGCTAGTGGTCGACCCTTTTTCCGTTACCAGGCTTATCCCGCCACGCGGAGAATCGAAATTTATGGGCTGCGAACAAAGAAAACACACGCACACACACATATATAAATATATATAAAAGTACAAACAGCAAAATGAATCATTTCCAAATCCAAAAAGGCCATTATTCTTTGTTGATGCGTATGCCGCGTCGCTCACTTGTTTCTCGTGCATCCAACCGACGGTGGGCGGTGGTTCTGGAGCGAATTGCACCAAGCAGGTAAGGTTTATCGTGCTACCCTGGTCAATGAACAATTCCGGTCCGCCTAGGATTTCGGTAGTCGGTTCTGAAAATGTATTAAAAAAAAAACGTTAAAAACTACTAATAATATCGACATTGAAAAATAGCATTTAAAATTGTTTCAACTTAAATAGTTTGATACAAAATATTTTTAAATGATCGAAAACATAATTTTTAGCGTTCAAGTTAAAGGGTGTTTCTAGAGTTGTCATGTCCGTGCTTAGAACGTTTGTGGACGGTCCCGAACTAGGATATAAGTTAGTCTACAGTGATAAATCATCTTGGAAGAGCCGACGCCGTCCGAGACTTACTTTCGTTATGTTAGGAATACTATTTTTTCACTTGACGACTACAAAAAAATGTTTACCATTTTTAATTAGTATGGTAACGATAATTTTACTCGAAACTATTTTATCTAAGATAATTATTCCCTCATAGAATTATTACCGCAATATAAAACTCTGATCACCTTATGCAGTAAAAAAATTAGGGTATGGAAACACTATTTAAACATTAAAAATGTTAATCTTGTTTATGATGTATTGGTTTTAACGAAGGTTTTAAAATATAACATAATAGTCAAACCACGTTTTATGTAAATGCTTACTTTTTACAAATAGCTTAAAAAATAAAACTATTAGGTCCCTACCAATGAAATTGTTATTTTTTAAATATTCACCGATTTATAGGTCACGTGTATTTTTACATATTCAATGGTTTTTTTTTTAAAGAATAGAAGATTATGTAAAGTTACAAAATGATAATAATACAGATTGTGTTTTTTGTAAAATTCGTGTCGTTTTATAAAAAAAATTGTGTTACTCTCTCAAAAATAAAGAGAAACGATGAAGTCCTTAGTATAAAGTGTTAACGTTTATTGTAAAAACTTGGGTTTGGAATAATTACAAAGCTGATTATTTTTGTAGCCGAAAGTGATAAAACTTAAAACAACACTCTACTCAACTACTTATCGGCTCGGATTACACAGTTTACTTTACCTACAAAACCGTAAATGTCAAGTACAAACTAATAAAGGGAATTTATTAACGTTGTACGTTATTAATAACTATTAATAGTTCGATCATAACAGCACAACTTTATAATAATAGACTTGACATTAATATTCGTATTTATTTCAACGGAAAACAATTATAAGCCCCGTTAGCGATCGTTGTTAACAGAGTATTCATTAATTAAACAAACATCACTGGGTAGACATGTGGTAAACACTGTGGTGTTTCTTGGTCATCACTTTTTGAGTAGAATAAATAATACGATAGATATTACTTGTCTTCTTAAGTTATAGAGGTGTAGTATTTTACTGTCAATTTCACATTTTTTTTTAATTAAAAAAAAATATGACAGCGCTTAAGTAAGTTTTTGGTGGTTAGGTACACTTTTTTCCTGTCACGTTCAATCGGTAACATTTTTCTTTATTGCCTTCGATTAAAAACATTATATATATCATAAAAAATGTTACTCTTTATATTTTTAAGATGCTGGCATATTTCTTAACCCGGCATCGTCAAATTTATGGTTAGTATATTATGCGAAGCTTCTATAAAAAGTATAAACATTAAGGGTCCAGGGCTGCCGTCGTACAATATCTCCATAAACATAAATGTTGGAAAAATGTTAGTTTTGTTTGCACGTTGTTCGAGTTTTTATGTGAACGCAGATTTACGAACAAAGTAAACTATTGTCGATATTTATTAATTCATAAAAAAATCATTTAATTTTCGATTAAATTAAAAAAAAAAATACGTTTTTTATATATTTCTAAACTCTTATTCGTAATTCTATTTCGTTTGAATTTGTATGATGTAACACGCACGTATCAGTGGCTTATATACGGGCAATAAGCCAGTGCAACGTATGGGTTGGACTTTCATATCGTTGTGATGTATTTATGTATGTTGAACACAATGAAAAAGCCCTGGCTTGTCAATGTCACGCAACTTTTATTACAGCATGAATAGAATGAAGTTTTAATAAAAAAAAAAAACGTACATGATCGAATAATCTATATATGTATATATGCGACATTTATTTATATGTTTGAAAATATATACGGAAGAGAATATAAATTGTACCATTTTCAAACATTTCCTGGTAAACATATGTTTTATAGTCGTTGTGAACACGCTGTTTCATAAAGTACATTCCCGCGTGTGCCTAAAAGCTTTACTGTCACAAAATCATCTTGAGTAGCATTTTCGATTTCGCTAAAGAAGATAACGTCCGGCACCAACATACATTTATGATTGACATAAATATAATATTGCGTATAACACGCACTTATAAAGGATATCTCGAACTGCTCTGACAAATTAACATAAGATTACTATGTGAAATCTTTAACTTTACGCTATGTAAGAACCCTATGTAGAAAGTACAAGCTGGCCGTTAAAGTGCCGTAGCACTACTGGTGCAATAGTAGTATTACAATAATAATAATATTAATGACAGTGATTGACCGTTAACGGCATTGAGTTACGATATTTTACCGTTAACTTGTTTTTAAAAAATAATTAACAAAAAATCATATTATACCTAAGACGTAACAATGGTTAAAAACGAAAACCGTAAAAAAATATAAAAACTTTACAAAAGATGGATTACACTTTGAGAGATGTGCGTAGTGGTTGTTCAAGACGTATTTTTAGACATTAATAATTTATCGTAAAATAATTTGTTTTTTTTTTAAATTTATATTTAATGGTCTGTGAAATTGATCGTTAAAACTGTATGTGTAAACGGTTTGTAGTAGTAATAAAGCGTAACACCGAAAAAGCTTGTGAGAAAACGGCGGAAGTTATTAAAAAGGTAAAGTAAGGAGGTAAAAAAATACTGTTTAGCGGCTTGCCAGAGTACAAGGTAAACTAATCTAAAAAATGATTAGCGTTCTGTGAGCTACTACGTTAGAATCAGGGCTTGATAACGGTGTATATTTTAGTCCACTCCACAACATATTGGAAAATAAAACGAACAAAAATGTTTCTAAAGTAATGAATTAGGAACGAAATCAAAACGAAATAAAATATTTCTAAGAAACACCTAATTATTATGATCGTTATAATATTTTAAACATTTTGACAAGAAAATTTTGTGACTTAAAGAATACACACACACACACATATGTATATATATATATATATACTTTCATAGCTTGTTGATTTTCGAAGAATTGCTCGATGTATAAAAAATGTTAATATGTAATTTGGTTTGCAAATGTAGAAGTAATTTTTTTATTGTACATCCTACAACAACTATAATTTTCAAAGTTCCGGGAAACATACTCATATCACACTCTAATTGTAAAATACTTTTCTTTTTTTGAAATTGAATTATACACATGTTTGTTCCGATAAGTTCCAAAGAAAAAAAATGATAATAACGCATTCAAAAATTGTTTTTTACCTTTTCTTTATATGTAAATTATTGTACAATTTAAAACAAAATAGATAATATAACTGTATTTATTAATAAAAGAAGTATCGACAATACGCATATTTCAAGTAGGATAATAATATATGACTAGTATTAAAAGCTATATCGATAATCAAACCTCTTCTAGTAGTTAGGATAGTTTCTTGACAAAATAATTATTCCAGAAGAGTGGGTAGGGAGTAGGGGTCATTTGGAAATTCTAAAAGTGTACTTGCTAGTTATAACAATTGATTTGACAAACAATTTGAAATCTCAAAGGCGACTTGGATGCCGGATGGGCTTCGTAAAGTCGACTAGTAAAATATACATTTGCAAATAGCTTGCAAAATATTGACATAGTCGCGAGTTTTATTTCATTACCTCGAGTAATCTGTTCTAATGTAAAGTTATATAATAACTAACATCTATAGTGACTAATCCCAAATAAAATATAATTCTATATACTTCTACGTTAATAAATACTAATATTAAAATGATTTATTTGTTATTGTTATTTAATTACTAAGTTGAAATTATTAAAAACCATATAGAGCTACTATGTATGGATACTACAAAATAAAACAAGAAGTGTGCTCATTAATTGTTACGTGGTTTTCGTTTTAGCGGCTTAACGTCTTAAGCTCCTTAAAATCAACAATAGTTTAGTAAATAAACAAATTGTGTTTGGTGGGATCCCATATTATTGTATCTACTACCTACGCCCTGTGCGTTTCCTATACACATAGTACTTAACTGTTGTAAATAAATGACACCAAAATAGAGATTTCTCGCACGGTTGTCAAACATTATAAAGAATAAATAAAAATCACAAATAACGTTTTTGTCGATAGTTATCTGTTTAGCGTCACAAGTGTTTGTCTTGAACCGAAGCATAGGGCATTACCACGGCAACCAATTAAATTTGGATTTTATGTGGTATATTTGTTTGTTTGACGGTCTTAAACGCATAAGAGTGGTCATTCGGGACGACCGATGTCTTTCTTAAACGAGCCGAAGAATTTATTGTTGCCTTATATAATCACATAATTTTAAACAACCAACTGACCAATAAAAATAAACGAGGACTCTGAAGTTTAAGCAAACCCAGTTTATTTATTTACATACTACCCAAGGCCAAAAACAAATGCAAGTAAATTACAATTTACCTCAAAAAATAAATATTTTATACTTTTTTTTCTACTAAAGTGGTTATTAGCCATTAAAGGCTATTAACGCTCATCGCTGCTTAAGCGGCCTTCTCCAATTGATGATAAAATATTACAAGTTAAGCTAAACTAATGAAATAATAATTCTACATCCATTAGAGATAAAAGCCAATAGTTAAGTTTATCATTCAAAATTTGTATGTTAATGATGTTTAAATTATGTTGAGGTTTCCTGTTTCAGAATCAAAATTCTGCTTTGATCATACATTAAAACTAAATAGTATCATCGTGATTTGTGGCTGTGTATTGTTATAAGTGATGCTTGCCATAGAGAACATCATAGACGTTACAAATACATAATAATATATGCTGAAGTGTACTTAATATTAGATACTTATCATTTGTATGCTCTGTATCGTGATTATATTTCGAAATTAGTATAAATTCATTACTTTTAATGACTATGTATATACGTTAATGGAAATAATCGCTTTAGATATTTGATTTTAATGTACTCGATTATGTTTTACCAAATATAAATAATTATGTTCATATAATACAGAAATTCACAAAAATATGTTTTAATGATAATAATGTCATTCCAGTTATATATTGATTATTGTACATTTGTACTTTATTTGTAGCTAACCTTCATTATATTTTATAACCGTTATATTATTTCTACAGCTGTAATAATATTTTTAACATTTTTAGGTATAATAAGAATGTGATATTGTAACTGGAATTCGAAACGACTATTTATTTTGTATTAACAATCAATTGATAAATTAATCGTATAAAATATAATTGTTGTGAACATTTCCTTGTTAAAAAACTAAAATCGTTTAAGTCATTTTATTAATTATTTTACACGATACAAAAAAAAACAAAATTTAATCATTGTCGTTCAAAATATAAAGTAATTTATTACGAGTACAAAATTGTGTTGTTTAATAAAGGTTATTTTGAGCAAAACCTTCGATGAATGGTTGAATTTTCCAATGGACGTTATAAAAAGAAGCGCTGCCAATTCTTCATTTTTATATATTGCCGGGCTGTAATCCTTATAGCTATCTTTGTAAAAGAAAATCAAATAATCGCTTTTATCTCTTTTTCGAGCGAATTTAGCTTTGGCCGAACATCAAGAAAATAAACTCGATCAGATATTCTACAACATTAGGCTAACCTATTCTTATATTTCTTTTAAAAAAGATAGAAAAGGAATATAATACCAATATTCACTTACTGACCGCGTGGACGATATTCGCTGTTTATTTATTATTTGTGTTTAAATAAAATCGAAAAACTTATAAAATAGTATGCGCTCAGTACTTACGTTTAAAATTTAAATCTGCGTTGATAAACACATAGTATAATGAAGTTACAAACTTAAGTAGGTTGTACTATTATATGTTAGTTGAAAACTTGCATATACTATAATCAAGCTGTAGATATAAGTAATAAATTCATTATGTTATTTTAAGTAAAATCTGTGAGTATACATAATCCTTGTAGAAGTTATAATAGGAAATACGATTTTTATGACAAATTAAAATAGTATATCATATAAGTGGCTACATAAATCGTTTCGTTTATTTTTCTCTTGTGTTTTAAATGCATGTACATCCGCACCCAACTTTATTAAACGCTGGACGGTGGACCGATTTCTTCATACTAAGCGAATGTATCGATGAGAAACTATGTTCGGTTGGTACTAAAGTAAGCCACAATCTTTTCAGTTGTTTTATCCATTAGATTATCTTAGGAAATTAAAATTATTTGTAAAAAACAATTTAAATAGTTATTCATTGTGTGTACATCAAATATAGGAAAAACCCATCTTGTGCGAGTAATTAAAAAAAAAACATTTTCATTATCTTTAATATATATTTTTTCGTAACAAAATAAACGTAGTTTAAGGTAAAAAAAATGAGAGTTAAATGCGGTCGTATACATTAAAATTTGTACAGGTTACTCTGGATTGAATGAGTGTTTAACTAACTTCCGGTTAGTTAAACAACGTTCACAATCTTTTTCTCTTAAATAGTTAAACCTTTCTAATTCAGGTCGTGTTTATTCTGGAGAGCATTTATCGCAACAAACGTAAAAAAAATAAAACGTTCAAATGCCTCTTGTTTGCCGCTGTAAGTTATATGTTTGCACAATCCGTAAGATAAATTATGCATACATTTTTTTGTCAATGTAAAAATACGGTCGCAATTTTTTTCTTTTTTTATAAAAACCAAAGTATAGATAAAAAAAATGTACTGTTTAAAATATTGTGAATGATCAATTTATTAAAACGCCCACAGCCTGTCGTTTTGTCGACGGATTTATCGGGTCACATATTAAACCAAAGAAAACTTTTTTCTCGCTGGTTTTTTTTATTTTACCTAACCCCCTGAGACTAGGTTATATCGTCGCATGCAAATTTATCCGGTAAAAATAAAAATAAAAAAAAACTTTCACGAGGACCCCGTCACGCTTGTGTCCCCATACGATAATGCCAACTCGCATGTAGTTTGTTTAAACGGTTAACAGTCGGGGATCTTGCAATTTACATTCAGCCTACCTCTGTTTGTGTTAAAATACCGTCGCTTTTTTTTTTTCATACGTCAATGATATGTGCGTGGTTTTTTTTAATTGTTTCTTCGCTAGACGGTTTCTTGGCTTAACTTAATCAAACTACCTAAACGTTAAATATATTATCCTTAAACTAGTTAAAACGAAATACATGTACGAGCAGAAATATAACGGGTTCGAGTTTTATTTTATACCATTTAAATTAGCTACAAGTTACGGTTAATATTATCATAGTTTTTATTGTTATTTTTTAATAAAAAATTACATGTACTGGTATTTTTAGACGGACAATAGAAAATAACAAAGTATTGCTATATTAAAATAATATACTTAAAAACTTATTTTATCGGATCAGCTTCGTATCTGTACAGTTTAATAGCACAATAAGTATGTATGATAATAATATAATACAATAGTACAGTGGTATATTTGCTAAAGAAGACACTCATTAGTGACATTTAAATTTGACTATTTTATTCGTTTGTGCTTAACTCTTTTTTTTTTATTCTATTAGTAAATAACGACACCTGGTACAATGATACAATGTATTTTACTAATAGGGCTGTATTGGTGATTTTGTAAACGGCTATAAAAACGTTTGTATAATTGGTATTTGTACAAATTATAGTTTCTTAGTGCAATGTTCTGGAATTAGTAATTATTGTTAATATTAGAATTTTTAGCAGTACCCGATAATTGAAGACTATACTTCCAAATGGGTTTTACGAGTGATTTATATATAACGATTTTGGTTTTCCTAAAACCAACCAAAAACTTTCCCCACTATTAATATTTGAAACACTAAAGGTATTTCTGGTCATAGACAAAAATGTTATACATCATACACACAAAAAAAAATTTAATCAGCTTGATATACACTTTTAAGATAAGAAATACAGCTATTAAAAATTGTTAGTAAATACAAAAAAAATGTAGAAATTATTTTGTTCAAAGTAGCCTTTATTCGTCAAGGATATTCCGGTAAGATGTTTCTTTCAACATTAATAAAAAAAATATATTAAATTTTGATTACTTAATAAATTAAATTCCAACTAGATGTTTTTATTGTTTTTTAATCCGCATGTTTCATTAAAAAATTATTTATACATTCAATTGACATTTTATTACATTTTTATAGGATTACATTAGGATAGTTAAACGTACCAATTGTATACGACTATTATTTTGTTTTCTTTCTCTTATTATTGTACATTTAAATTTTATCGGCGGTGAGTAGGACTTAACTTAATGTATAACGTAAACAAATTTATACTGTGCAGTTTTTATTTTTAAACCAAATAAAGAAATAGTATTACTATTATTATTGTTATTATTATTTGTTAGTCGGTTTTGCGTTGAACATTTTTGTTGTTTTTCCTCTCTGTCCAATCCTACTAAAAGTCTACCATCAGCTAACGTTGCATTGATAGGGTTTATTAATATCAAAATAAACTGGAATAACTTAATATACATTACCTAGTACAGTTAAGAAGACCGGATGTCCTACGGGTGGAGTAGTACTGATCTGGCATTCGTACACACCGGAGTCCTTTTTTTGTGGGTACTTGATTCGCAAAGACCAATTTTCTGAATGTGGTTCGTGTATGGCCTCGAACCGTTGGTCACTAGTGTAAGTGTATCTGCCTGCTGTAAGAAGATGGATATCTCGATGGCGAATCCAAGAGACCTGAAACAAGTTTGATTTATTAAAATAATATTGAGTAAAGCATTTAAAGCTATCGATAACAAGTAAACTTAATAGGCTCTGGTAATAGTGTACGTATGCAGTCAACAAGCATTTGGCTGTAAACTGACCTTTGCATTTAAATTGTTTTCTAACAATAAAGAAATCAACCGTTAACAAACATTTATTATTTGAACTTTGTTTCGCATTATTATTTATTGTCTGGAACTCTGGAAGATCCTAAATTTCTTATGAATTCTGAGTTACAAAAAAAAAAACACGGATAAGAACAATTAAAGTTGTATATTTGTTTTGTATAAATAAACAGTTTGTGAGTTTGAATTATAATTTTTCATTCAAAAAAGGCTAATAAACGATGTTTTATTATTACACAATGCCAGGTCACGCGGTGGTAAGAATACGTTTGAATACGTTAGAGAACGCCATGAAAGTGTATAAACATGTAACAATAAAAACAATCAATTGGGGGTTAAGTCTGAACTTTGTTCAGTAATGTAAATTGTCTCGTTTTGTTCCATTAACTATTCAGTGCTAAAAATTGTTATCCGAAATTACGTTATTCCGAGTGGATTGCGTAGCATAATATCTAAGTGGTTTGAAACTTAAAGCGAACAGAAATGCTGAAAGTTTTTGTTTCCAAAACAAATGCCGTAAACGATCTACGGTATTACATTCAGGGTTCTAATAATATCAAAAATTTATCAGTGTTATTTTAAAGAACACCTCGTTGGATATTCGTAATTTCTCGTTGTTTGAAAATGTAAATTTCAAATAATTATTTATAAATATTTAAAATCGTTTACAGGCCGCACTCGTATAGATTTGTATTTTCGATTGGATATGTATTATTCAAGTCGGGTTGTCGAAGGTTGTTTCATCAAGAACAAACTCGTGCAGATGATCCTTCGAGCTCGTGTATACCTAACGCGTACCTTTTTTTTTAAAAGGATAAACACTTAGACAAAATCAATTATGTAACTGAACTGAAATGAAAAATGAGCCCATTGTGACAAAATACTAGAACAACAAAACACAAAATGTTCCTATTCTATTTTAATCTAAATCACTGATAACATTTAATTCAGAAACGATTACGTTCGCTAGATTAAGTCTGTAATAGTTGATGTTAGTGCATTAAACTCATAATTAGATAACTTCAGAGTACACATACTTAAAAACAAAGTAAAAATAAAATAGTCTTTTCAACTACACTAAATTAAATTTAAATACCACTAGTGAAAGTTGTACACACCATCTAACTTTTAACTTAAGTAACACATTAAAGTATGAAAAAACTAACATTTTAGAGCAGCTAAGAAGGTCTTGAATTTGTGTAATGATAAAGCAAAACGGCACTTGAAATAAGCTAAACAAAATACATACAGACTTTGCAGTCACAGAAAATGTCTCAAAAGAAAAAAATATTTATAGGGTGTTTCGGTAAAAATGAGTAGCGAGTAAGTAGTATTTTTTTATTTAGTGGTTAACTTTCTAAAGAAAAATTAGAATATTGAAGTAATGAATAATGAAGATCAGTATAGTATTTATTAAAATTGTAAGTTACATATAATTATGAACGTTTTAGTAGTCGTACATTAAATTTGCAAAACTATAGCGCTAATATTTTTACTATCTTATCATATTTATACGTAGAAAATTAAAACTATAGCTAGATTAAAAATGTCATTTTATAGTAAATATTTAAGTTATTTTAACGAAAATTAGTTTCAAGATTTGTGGTTTATTTGAAGTGGTGTTAACGGACACCTCCACCTCTCACGCCATGTTTAGTAGTAATTATATAATTTTTACTCATCGTACTATGTTTTGCTGTAAGACAAAAAAAGATTTAGGTTTATTAACACTTGACTAGTATTCATTATTAGTAACTCATCAAACGGATTTTAATGATTTATATTAACTAAGGTTTAAACTAAGGGTATACTAAGGGATTGGTATAAAACTGAAGGCATTAAACTCGGTTGAACTATTCGGGATCGCATACTGAGTGGCCTCACCAGGGGTTTTACCCGGATACTTCATAATTTTCTATGGCCTTTGTTTTGTAATTATTATAATGAACCTTTTAACTATGTCGGTTAGAATATTAATTAAAACGTTTTATGTAGAAAAATGTGTATTAAACAAGTGTACCACTTTATAATGATAAGTAGCCAATAATTGTATTATCATTGATTTATAAATTATATTAAACTCAGTTATAATAAATACTAACAATAACACTGGAAACGGGGGCTCGTAGAGGAGTGCTGACTTGCTATCTTTGTAATTAATTATATTCGAGAATTTTATCATTTGGTAATTAAACTTTAGACATGTTCCCGGTACCCTAAAACCATACTGATTGAGGTGAACGGCGCCACTCTTAATAGTGTTAAAACGTTTTGTTAGGATTGAATGGTCACTGTAGTTTTGAGGCCTTAATAACATTCTCATGACTCATCAATATTCCAAATCCAACCATGTAATGCATCTCACAGCTTTAATTTATACTCCAACGTGATTGCTATAACATTATTGTTTTTGGATGCACTAACACACATTCAACATGTCTTATATTATCAATTACATGCGATAAGTGTTAAGTTTCCACAATATATGTCGATGTCCAACAATAAAATAATATTATATATCATGTGAAGTGGTCGTTTCATTTTAGGTAAGCAAGATGTATTATACTTCTGAACTGTCTAGCTATAACTCGTGCAGAGATAAATGTACCAATGATATTTTCTACTTAAGCTTAAATAAAATAATAAATGATTAACCGCATTCGTTCAAAGCCATTTAAAATACATTATTTTTCAACATTATTAGGTATAACTTATAATTTAGACTTGTACTATAGTAGCATGAAACGGAACAAGTACAATAAAAACAATCAAAATAATGTTACTTTTAGAAAATTATTAACTTTTATTTAGTAATTTTAAAAGATTATATTTTAACATCAAAATAATTATATGATTGTACCGTTAATTTTTTTTATGGTTAATTTATTTAAACAAATTAAAATACACATAAACATTTGTTTATTTCCAAGCTGACCTTTTAAGTTAGAATACTTAATTTTTAAATATACGAGTATTCGAAAGGCTGTAAAATGTATACCTAAAAGCTAATACACAACATTTAAAAATATATAACTTTTTAGTTTAACGTCAAAGGTAAAAATTAGGAATAAAGTAGTTTTTTAAATAAATGATTTAAACTGTTTGAATATTTCGAATACCTATTGGTGTTTGAATATTTCTCATCACTCCTTTCAAGTACTTCCCCAGAAGTACATCGCATTGAAATATTTAAGAAGATTTCTACTCATAGCGAGGGGTAAAATAATTCTTAGAATAAAAAATACTTTGTATATTTATCAATGTTAATGAGCGATTGGGTTTCCGCCTTCCGGTTTAAAAGCTTAATTAAAAAGTTCGGGATAAAATAAAAAAATCTTGAAATGCCGTAAGCGGTTAGTAAAATGTGAGCATATATACTAAAGAAACTAATGAACTAATGCGCTCAAAGAGATTTTGTCGAAGTAAACTTACGCAGGTACCTGCAAAGTATGACAAAAAAAAAACGTTTACGGTTATGCCATAAAACATAGATATATTTATATTTAATACGCTTTTGCTTTAACAATGGTTTTTATAACAAAAACAATACAATACAAATTCTTTTTTTGTTTTATCCACTCATTAAAAAATAATTAAAAAAAAAACAGTTTTGTTTTAAAAATAATTAAATTTATAACAATAGCACTACGGCTTCAGTTGTTAATTTTTGTCGTTAAACTTTAGACAAAATAGGTATTTACATCGTTAAATTCGTGTTGATAATTGGACAAAGATATTATGTTTTTCGCAGTTAACCTAGCTAAGGTAAACCAGAATTATAGCAATATAAATATTATTCAATATAAACCTACAAGTGTACAAATACATGCTGTATAAACGAATCTCGTACTCGTCCATTACGGACTAGGGATTTTTTAGATTCATGGAAAAGCAATCGGATATAATTCGCGGTTGCGTTCGCGTATAAAGTTTTCGACTTACCGGTTTGAACTTCGATTCGAGGAAATACAAATGTATACATACATATTATATATTACATCGGTACGTTGGTTCGCGGTGTCTGCGTCAACTTTGTGTTATTCGTGGCTCTTCGAAGTCGCCCCACAAAAATTCGATACTTTAAAATTTATTGTCCACGGGCTTGTGTGACGACACTATAAATTATTATGTGTGTATAAATATAGCAAACAAGCGGAGTTGGCGGCAGTTTAAGAAACTTGAGTTTGGCGTCGTCAAAACAATAGTAATTTCATCAGCAGCAGCAACTGTGCGTTTTTCGATGAACGACTACCATAGGTCTGACTTCCGTAAGTCGTTTGGCGCCCATAAATCGTTTGTATTTGTTTTTACAGCCGGCGGTACAACGCTACGCTATTAATACAGGCGCATTAAGTAGCTCATATAATCATAACGGTTTTAATTAGAGCTTTGCACACCTTTCCCGCCCCCTAACATGCCTTTAGAGAACCTCGAATGAATATTCAACGGTCGGCAACCTCCAAGTCGGCGGCCGAGAGCGTCGTTAAGCGGCGAACAACGGTTTAGCTTCCGCAAGTAGGCGTGGTCACCGTCAACAGTATAATATTATAATGTCCCTATTGTCGTTATTGGATTAATTACCTAATTAATAGGCGTATATTCGGTCATGCCCGCTTGAGTATGACCGAGACAAATACATGTGATTTTTACGAGAGCAAAATACAGAGCGAGTTTCCAATTGAAGAAAGTTTTTAAATTACTAGTTTCATTGAAAAAATAACGTATAAGCGAAGACTCGTTTTTGAAAGAAAAAAATGGTCACTTCTACCCTTTTAGTTCTAATGGCTTCAATTATTATTATTACTGTGGTGTTCACCTAGCCTTTAGTATCATAGACGCGGCCAAATT